GTGTGTTACTTTAAGATACTATCCATCTTCTTAAAACAGTGCCAGCTATTCCTGTTGTGCATCTGTGAACCCGAGCTCCCTGCCCCACGTGCGGCTGAGCTCATGTACAAGCTACTGTGCTTATTTTGAAGTGCAATGGTACTTAGAAATAATGGTAGCCCTAAATATTCAGTTCAACTTTGCATTAAGACTAGCAACTATAAAGTATTAGTTACTCTAAAGGTTGAAAGGATGTCATGGTTTGAACTCAGCTGGTACCAGTCACCACATGGCCAGTTGCTTACTCCCTGCCCCACCCCTGGTGAAATAGGGGACGGACAAAAACCAATTTGTAGGTTGAATAAAAAAACCCCCAATTTAGTAATAGTAACAAACAGCAGTAATAACAGTAAGTCCAAACAGGTAATATTCAGTAGTTGCTCACCAACCGCTGACAGGTAGGCAGCCCACCCCCAGCAGCGATCCTGACTGCACCAGAAATCCCCCCATGCCAAAACCGGGAAACCGAAATGGAAAGTGAGAGAGCATGTGTCCCCTTGTATGCTGAGTGTGATGTCCCATGATGTGGAACACAGCAATGATCAATCCGGACCTGGCCTTCCAGCTGTGCTCCCTCTCAGCCCAAGGAAAGTTAACCCTAGCCTGGCTGAAACCAGGACAGTCTCCACCCCTTATTCCATACCATTTACATCATGCTCAGGTTTCAAATACATTCTAAAGAATCACCACCCTTTTCCCAGGTCTCACAGATATCATTCCCTCAGTCTGTGGGCCATCCTTCCAAAATGTGTGAGTTCATTTAGTGCATAAATGGACTGGGCCCAGTGAGCCATGAATTGTTCACCCTTACATTGCCAGTCCAGATCTATTTAAGCCACCCTACTCTTAGCAGCTTGACATGCCTGTTGGTTGTTCTGATGTTCTTCAGTGGCCCAGCTCTTGGGTACATGAGCACCTTCATGGTCACAAGATTCTCTACCTGAGCAGCCATATCTTGCTGTAATTCAGCAGCCTAGACGGGCTTGCCTCTGCGCTGCCAGTTGCTCTGTTTCCACTGCTGCAACGACCCCCGCAGCGCATTTGCCACCACCCGCAAGTCAGTGCAGAGACAGAGCACTGGCCACTTTCCTTGCTAGCGATATCCAAGGCCAGCTGGATGGCTGTCATCTCTGCACACTGACTCAATTCACATTCTCCTTCAGGAGCTTCAGCAACCCATCGTGTGGGTCTCCACACAGCTGCCTTCCACCTTCGATGTTTCCCCACAATGTGACAGGATCCGTCGGTACACGGGGCACATCGCTTCTCCTTGTCCAGTAGTTTATTATATGATGGGGCCTCCTGAGCACGCGCTACCTCTTCTTCTGGCGCCATTCCAAAATCTTTGTCTTCTGGCCAATTTGTGATCACTTCCAATATTCTTGGATGGCTGGGGCTCCCTATTTGAGCCCGTTGTGTGATTAATGTGACCCATTTACTCCACGTGGCATTGGTTGCACAGTGTGTAGAGGGGACACTCTCTTTGACATCCAGCCCAGCACTGGCAGTCGGGGAGCCAGGAGGAGCTGTGCTTCAGTCCCGATCACCTCTGAAGCAGCTCAGACCCCTTCATATGCTGCCAGTATCTCCTTTTCAGTTGGAGTGTAGTGGTCTTCTGATCCTCTGTATCCCTGACTCCAAAACCCCAGGAGTCGACCCCAAGTCTCCCCAGGTGCTCTCTGCCAGAGACTCCAGGTAGGGCCATTCTTCCCAGCTGCGGTGTAGAGCACATTTTTAACATCTTGCCCTGTCTGAACTGGCCAGAGGGCTACTGCATTGGCTATTTCCTGTTTAATTTTTTCAAAAGGCTGTCACTGCTCCAGGCCCCATACAAAATCATTCTTTTTCTGGGTTGCTTGATAGAGAGGGCTGACAATCAGATGGTAATTTGGAATGTGCAGTCTCTGGAAACCCACAACACCTAATAAAGCTTGTGTCTCCTTTCTGTTAGTCGGTGGGGACATAGCTGTTATTTTATTAATCACCTCCTAGAATCTGACAACGCCCATCTTGCCATTTTACTTCTAAAAACTGAATCTCTTGTGCAGGTCCCTTGACCTTATCCTGCTTTATGACAAAACCATCTCTCAGAAGGATTTTGACTGTTTTCTTCCCTTTCTCAAACTCTTCTTCTGCTGTATTGCTCCATACAATGATGTCATCAATGTACTGCAAGTGTTCTGGAGCTTCCCCCTGTTCCAGTGCAGTCTGGATCAGCCCATGGCAAATGGTGGGGCTGTGCTTCCACCCCTGGGGCAGCTGATTCCAGGTGTACTGGACACCCCTCCAGGTAAAAGCAAACTGTGGCCTGCACTCTGCTGCTGGAGGGATGGAGAAAAATGCGTTGGGAGTACCAATTGTGGCGTACCATTTGGCTGCCTTCAACTCTAGTTCATACTGAAGTTCTAGCACATCTGGCACAGCAGCATTCAGCAGAGCCGTGACTTCATTCAGGCCATGATAGTCCACTGTCCATCTCCACTCTCCATCGGACTTTCTCACTGGCCATATGGGGCTGTTGAAAGGGTAGTGTGTTTTGCTGATGAGTCCTTGGCTCTCTAGCTGACAAATCAGTTTATGGATCAGGATTACAGTGTCTTGATTGATGCAGTACTGCCATCAGTGCATGGTTGTAGTGGCAGTTGGCACCCATTGTTCTTCAACCCTCAGCAGTCCCACAGCAGAAGGATCCTCTGATAGACCAGGCAACACAGACAGCTGTTTAATCTCCTCTCTTTCAAAGGTAGCTATACCAAAAGCCCACTGGCCTTTTGGGTCCTTAAAATACCCTCTTCTGAGATAATCTATGCAAGGGATATATGGAGCGTCTGGGCCAGTCACAATGGGGTGTTTTTCCCGCTCTTTTCCACTTAGGCTTACCTCGGCCTCCAACACAGTCAGCTGTTGAGACCCCCCTGTCACTCCTGAAGTACAGATGCATTCTGATCCTTTAAAATTTGATGGCGTTAGGGTGCACTGAGCACCAGTGTCCCCTAGAGCCTTATACAGCTGGAGGTCAGATGTGCCAGGCCATCGAATCCACACAGTCTAGTAAACTCGGTTGTCCCTGTCCTCTGTCTGGCTGAAGGCAGGGCCCCTCTGAGGTTGGTCATAATACTTGCTAACAACAAATGTGTTAGTGTGGTGTGCATGGTTTTCAGCCTCATCTTGATCACTCACTACTTCTGAATACAAACTAGAAGCTCTTCTCATAGGATCATGAGCAAATTCAATCTTTCTGCTCTGTTTGAGCACTTAATTACTGGAAACCGGAGCATCATGTCTCTTAAAAGACCCCATTTTGTACTTGTTCTTCCTTCTAACTCACATACCCACTCCTCTAGGATGTAGGTAGGTTTTCCATCTCATTTCTTCATGTCTTCTCCATAGTCACGCTGGCAATGCCACAGCTTCCCTCATGGTGTGTATTGGTTCTCTCGAGTTGAGAAACGTTGCTCCTCATAACGGAGATTCTAGTATGTGCAGGTGGGGAGTAAGACATCATCTTTAAACTGCTGGAAATCTTGAGATAATTTCTCTTCAGACACAACAATGTCTGTCTTATGTCTCACAACTCACTCAGGGATAAGGGTTGCGTGGCTATCACTGGCTCTGCCTCCTCCTCCTGTTCTTGTTCATCATCACCCTGTACACTGCGAGGGGATTTTCTTGTGTATTTCTTTTGTCTGGGAGCAACTGACACCGTCATGGGTTGGTTCTCTGGTTCAGCTGTAGTGCCTGTCCTCTGGGTTGTAGTGGCTGCAGTTTCTGTTACTGGGTTACCAGGTACAGAGCCTTTCTCTTCTTCCTGAGGGTGCTGAACGTGTTTAATAGCACTCGGTAAGTGTGGGCCAGGGCGCCCAGCATGTTGCAGTGATCTGTGCCTCTCTGAAATTACCCAGGTGACAACATACTTCTTCCAAATATTTTACTAGTTCTTCAGGATTCTGCACCTGTTCAGAAGTGAAGTTCCAATACACTGGAGGTGCCCACTATTCTAGGTACTTGCCCATGATACTCCACACCCCCAGCCACTCATAATTCTCCAACCTTGGGGTAGATTTCTAGGTGATACTCTTAAATAGTTGCTTAACCCTGAACAAAACCTGAACCACGTGGAGGAAAACACTAGCTCCTGGCAGCAAGATGACCATGTTAATGTCAATAATTCAAGGATATTTGAAATTCCTGAATTTCTCAAACACAGTTGTAAATAGCCCCAGGACTGATGACTGCATCCTGTCATAGATCAGCATTACATTGTACAGCAAAACCAAAATCTTAACCCAACTCTCATGGATGGTGAGCAACAGCATGGGAAATACATATAGCAAATGAGGTGATAAAACCTTAAGGAGCCAAGCTATTAATAAACGTGACCTGATCTGTCATTGTCTTAACCCCCTGGCCCCACGCTGGGCACCAAAAGACTGTCGTGGTTTGAACTCATCTGGTAGCCAATCACCACATGGCCAGTTGTTTACTCCTCGCCCCCCTTCCCTTCCCCCCAGTAAAATGGGGGGGACGGACAGAAAAAAAAGAAATTTATAGGTTGAATAAAAAAAATATTTAGTAATAGTAACAAACAACAGTAACAATAGTAAGTCCAAACGGGTAATACTCAGTATTTGCTCACCAACTGGTGACCGGCAGGCAGCCCACCCCCAGCAGCGATCCCGACTGTACCAGAATTACCCCATGCCGAAACTGGGAAACCAAAACGGAAAGTGAGAGAGCATGTGTCCCCTTGTATGCTGAGTGTGATGTCCCGTCGTGTGGAACACAGCAATGATCAGTCCGGACCTGGCCTTCCAGCTGTGCTCCCTCTCAGCCCAAGGAAAGTTAACTCTAGCCTGGCTGAAACCAGGACAATGGACTGAAAAACGTAGGAGAAATGTCCTTAATTAAGAGATATAATGTAATTCTTTTTCAAACTAAATTGTTTTTCTCTATCCTTTTAGGGTATAAAGCCAGCAAGCTTTGAGAAAGTTACTGATCCTGAAATTAAGGAGATAATTGGGGAGTGCATTTGCAAAAATAAAGAAGAAAGGTTTGTTTCAAGTAATCAAGTTTTGTATTAAATAATGTGTATGCAGGGATTTCAAAGCTGTCAAGATTTTTGTTCTGGCCTCTGGGTCTCCCCAGTGCAGGAGAAAATGCAGAATGGTAGTAGAAATATAAACGATTGCCTGCTTTCCTGCTATGTAATATCAGGATAATTGAATAAATACTGTTGCTGTCTTTGAAAGAGCAAGGTCAGAAAGCGTTGCTGTGGACATGTGAACTAGGTATTCTAACACATTCTGGCATAGTTGTCTATAAAATCTCACTAAGGAGGTTCTCTGTGAAGCATCAAATGTGGTGGAGGTCAACCACAAATGCGACGTGCTAGGTTCGCAACAAGCTGTTATAGCAGATTCCATGGGCTCATTAGCCTCTGCATATGAAGATAAATTGTGCCTTGTTTCTAGCTTTGGTTTTAAAACCTAATCTTCTTACACTGCTCTCTCCTAGATGAGTGTGTCTACTGTTCAGTATTTCATAACTTTCACAAATATGGGTTTTTATGGTCCTCAACTGCCTACTTAGAGGGAACCTCTTTTTTTTTTTTTTTTTTTAAGTACTCTAAGCTCAATACTCAAAAAAAGTTGAGCAAAGTGGTAATCTGCATTTCTGTGCATGCTTATGGTGTATCAATAGTGCTGAAGCTTTGTGAAATAGGAAATATCATTCTTTCAGCAGTCCTCAGTAAGACTGGAAATATGCTATGTTTTTTTGCTGAGAACAGAAATTTGTGATGGGTGAACACCAAAGATGCTGTAAATGTTTTCGCCTTTATCATCAGTTTATTTTCACAAAGCTCTTTGAAATTGCTTAAGGCTTGCGGTATTTAAATATTCTTTATATCCATTACAGATACGAAATTAAAGATTTATTAAGCCATGCCTTTTTTGCTGAAGATACTGGGGTAAGAGTGGAACTTGCAGAAGAAGACCATGGTAGGAAATCCTCTATTGCCTTAAGACTCTGGGTAGAAGATCCTAAGAAACTGAAAGGAAAACCCAAAGATAATGGAGCCATTGAGTTTACTTTTGATCTGGAGAAGGAAACTCCTGATGATGTTGCACAAGAAATGGTAAAATAAACTTCTCCTGACAAAAATGTATATATATAAGGTAGTGCATAAATCTCAAAGGACAGCAGGAATGAGTCTGGTAAAGTAACTTCCACTTAAACCATTTCAGGTGTCTAGTTTAAGCAGTTTGCATTGATTTTACAATGAGTGCTTCAAGAAAGGGGTAAACAGGGAAGAATTAATAACTGAAAAATATTGTTTACTAAGTATGAAAACAGATGCATGAAATGGCATTTCAAATAGCTTAGGGAACACAGAGGTCTCTTCTGTATTTTGAAAAATCTTTTGCCAATTTCTGTTAGCTGTTGAATGTCTTTAAATTTGTTTGGAATCTGTTTAGTTTCAGACAGCAGCTTGAAATAAATTAGAAGAGTTCAAAAGTTTAGTCACAAAATATTCTGCACTGAATTCCTCAAAACACTTCTTTCCATCTTTTGTCAGTGTTATTAAGAGGAATGTAGATTAGGAAAGTCTGTGATCAGCTACTCCATCACCAAATATAAATGGGAAACTAGACTCAAGGCCACTGCACAGAGTTATGAATAAGATTTGGATTTTTTCACATAAGTTTAACTTGATGAATCTCTGTATCTTCATGACTTGTGGCGTTTTGTTAGAAAACCTAATTTGTGTTCCAATTTTACTCTGTAGTCCTTGCACTGTACTTTAATGATTCTCACATCATGGAGACATATAATCAGTAAGCACTGACTCAAGGGTCTGAATTTTCTTGTGCTTGCAGAAATGTTCCTATTGTAATCTAAATCCCAAGGGATCCTGTTTAATGATGTAGTTATCACCACTCCTGCTTAGGAGACACTTGTTTTGGTAATGTTGCCTTACTATGCTTGGACTTGTCACCATGTGTTCCAAAATTAGTGGGAGAAATTCTGGCTCTTCTGTCTTCTTGTTGTTAGTTTGCAGTAGGTCCAATATTTTTGAGCAGTGTATTGTTACAGAACTTGTTTAATTTAAAAGCTGCTCTGGTGCACTTACTTGCTGCTATATTTTGCATTTAAATACTGATTGAAATATTTTGGAATTTTGAAGTTCTGTAGATTACGTGGTCCATAGTTGTGATATTTTGTTTTAAAGAGGAAATAATTCTTATAAAAAGGATGTTGAAATGGATCATTCCCCAACTACAGTGATACTATCCCCTTTCCCAAATAATTTTAAAACCTGTGTTTTACTATTACATTAACAGATACCTAAGTAACTGTATACGAAATACTTTCAAATTTGAGGCTGTTGGAGGGCAGACAAAGGGGGAAATTTATTCCTAAATATCTTTCTAGCCCCTAGGAATTGTGGAACACCAAAGCCATATGCTTTCATCAATTTGTGTTGCTTTATGTACTGTGGAAGAGAAGAATGCAGGAGACCTTTCAAGTATGGGGGATTATTTATCATTATTGATGGGGATTCAGTAGTCAGCCATTCAGCCTGTCCAAACAATGTGGGCAAAAGGAATTTGGTGGCTTTGCACCCTGAAGGCACCTTTCACAACCAGTGGGCACTGTAAAATAGCATGTCTTCATTAAACTTTAACTGTTCTCTATATGGAGATGTAAGAATAAGAATTGTTTAAAAGAAAGTTAATGTGGGTTTTCAGTGCCTTCTCCTTAAGCTTTGTCATGAAGAATCTACTAGATATGTAAGTTAGTACCATACACGGTTCTCTGGACCTGTGTGGTTCTTCCCTTGAGTGACTAACTCCCTTCTGTCATTAGCATTTGCTGGATCATCAGTTTGGGAATGTCAGTGAGGTCTGAGGGCATAGGCAGTGGAAAATACCATATCTATCCGCAGCTGCATTTAAGATGCTTTGCACCTATTAATTTTACACAGTGAAAATCTAAGCTGTAAAACTGCCTCGTGTTTGAGCAAGAGCAAAGAAGGAAAACCTCTAGACTTCCTCCATGTATATCAGTGCTTCCTAATTTGTAGCATATGTATGTTAAGAATGTAGGAAAAGCAGACAAATTTCTGGCAAGTCATTATTAAACTAAAATTCGTACCTTATGCTGTAGGAGATTATGCAAACAAATAACATGCAGATGAATTTTCATTTTATCTGTTGAGCAGTTGAATTCTGAGAAAGCTTGGTCCCCTTTACAGTCAAATGTGAACAGTCTACATTTGACTCAGTGATAGGCTTTTTCTTTGTAAAAGTCAATCAGTACTGACTGACTTGACCATTTAGGAGAAGTTAATTTGAGATTAAATTCTGTTAACATGTTTTCCCTCATGACTTGCTGTGATATCAAGCACAGCACTTTGGAGAACTGTGTATACTGGAAAGGTTAAGGCAATAAATTCTGATTTAGGGCTAGTATGGTTTACTCCAGTTGCATTGTTCAAAGACCTTTTTTTCATCTTTTGGCTATTCTGTTAGTCTTTCCAAAAAAAAAAAGAGGGAACCCATCTGCAGTTAAACCTGCTTGATTTTTCTCTGTGGATTGTAACTGGTGAATAAATTGACCCAGTATATATTCAGGTCTTAGAAATTGCATATTGTTGTTTTAAAATACATTAAGAAGTTTTATTCAGACACACACACACCCACACACACCCACCCATCAAGTTCTTGAGTTGCTGTTCTTGAGAAATAAATATGTAGTTCATGTTGTTTCAAACTGATATGTTTTCTCTGTCAGGAAGAGATTTGAATAATATGTGTGTGTACACATGCATGCACACCTGTGCGCACATAATCTTCCTAAGTTTGTGCCTCCTCTGTAGATCGACTCTGGATTTTTTCATGAAAATGATCTCAAGATAGTTGCGAAGTCAATACGTGACAGAGTAGCATTAATACTATGGAGAAGAGAGAGAATTTGGCCTAGGATACAGTCAGAGGAACGTCGGGACTCTGAATGTCTGGAGAAGCTGAAGGCGCCGCATGCGCAGCAGGTGCAGGTCACCTACCTTTCTCACACTGGCCACCATGTCCTGTCCGAGTCGGAGGAGCCCGAGGCGGACCAGCATCCCTTCCAGCAAAACCTGCCCACCAGCGTCACCTCTGTTGCATGTAAGTGTCATGCTGTGGTTTTGTGTGTGTGCGGTGATGCGGTGACGAATGAACATCCGGGGGTAAAAATGAATGATAATCTGAGTTTGGCAGTGAGATGACCTGCTGTGCATGTTTTTGCATAGTAGCTCTAAGAACACAAGTGTCTCGGAGATGCATAACATTTTTAAAAGAAAACACAATATTATTTGGAAATGGAAAAGCAAGGAGACATGCTGCTAGACACAAAAAAATACATCTTTTCTGTGCTAGGTGGTGGGATCAACACTAAGTTTGTGTGAAACACAATTTCAGAGCCTGCAGAAGTTGAATTGGCACCAAACTGGTCAGAGTGGCTGGTGGCTTTTTGAAATGATGTTGGCAATGTGGAGATGTTAATTCAAAATCAGACCTTGCTGAAACCAAAGCACTGCAGTTTCTTGTGTTTTGCGAGTTACTCTTGATGGCTTGTGTGGAGTTTTTTGTGAAGCAGACAAATCCATCTCTGAATGTTACATGGTGTAGTTCAAGATTTCCCTGTTTAGTGGGAAATATCAACTGGGGTTTGGTCGTGCATGTTGGGAGCACCAGCCCTTGTGTATCGACACTACAATTATTACTGGGGTCCTTTTTAGTCATGATGCAGGTGCTCTCTCTGTTCCCCTAGGCTCTCTTTTGTCCTGAGCTCATGGCCTTGAAATAAGGGAGTGGTTTGATCTTCGTTATGACAGGTCAGAGTAGGTGGTTGCTCTTGTTCGTGCAGGCCCTGGTAGCTGCAAGCCAATGATCTGCCAACTGTTTACATTCCAGCTGGGGGCCGAGTCAAGAGTGATCACTGGGCTGTTTCAAGACAGGTGGATTTACATCTCCTGTTTTAATTCCAAGCACTGATTTTGGTCTATCTCTGGATAAGAAACTACCTCACTTTGCTTGCAGAGCTTGTTTCTTCATTTTATTTCTGAGCATCAGACTTATCTCCAGCAAACAGCAAGGCGTGAGGAAGCAGGGGTTTTATTTCCCTAAAGTAACTTGTCCCTGCCTCTATCCCCTAAAATCAACCTTTGTTACTGAGTCAAGCTCTGTATTGAAATCTTAACCTAGTTATACTTTCAAACATCTTGAAGGAAATGTTGCCAGATATTTTTAGCTTGGAAGATTTGAAATTTTATGAGATTTTTTTTCTAGCCGTTTTTTCTGATAAATTCTGATGTACATATTTTGCTCCTAAACTATTATCATAATGTTTCTGTTTTACTGTTCTGGCCTTTTATGTAAGCATACTGAAATTAAAGATGCATTATCTTTATCAGAGACAGCTGCTGCTTTAATTCAGGTATTGTATAAATTGCTATACAGAGGTCTGCTTTGAGTACTGCAATAACCAAGCATGCCTCTACAGGAAAACCCTTACTAGATAAGAGAAATTACCATATTTGCATAACACTCAGAATATTGCAATATTTACAAAGCCTTTTTGCTGAAGATAAACTGATCTCATTTCATTTTTTGGATAATATACTTATTTCATGTTATCTAATTCCTTTGAGAAACACAGTAATTATGACTTCTTGTTTCCAGTGGTAAAATGAGGCTACTTGTGCTTTCCATCATTCTGTAGAAATTGAGTTGGCAGAATTTTATTTTAAATATAAACCTCCCATTTTGTTTTCTACTCTTTAACTTTTAACCAATACTTAGTATTATATGACTATTCACTGTCAGCTGTCTTTGAACATTTTCTTAGTGATGTTAGGCCTAGGACTTCTATATATTGTTCTAACAATTCATATAATAATATGAGATCAAATGTAAAAATGTAAATTAGTAACTCAATGTCTGTAATGCATGTTGTTCTATAAAAATTCTGAGACTGACTCACAGCTTTTACTTTAGCACTCTACCATCATACTATTTTTTTTTCATTTGAGGTCTTAATTGTTTGGAATAAAATGGAGGTGTGTATGCAGCAGAAATCCCAGCCGTCTTAGAACAGGGCTGTGTTGACTCTTTTTAGAAATGAGTCGAATAAACATAGAGGGTAGTTTAATTAAAAAAGAAATGGGAAAATAGTTTGTGAATGCTGAGAAGAAATGTCATCTCTGGTGCTAGTGAAAAGTAATTTATTATTTAAAAGCCACATAAGTAAAACCTTATTTGGAATATGGAAAAAAGAGAAGATGGAAAGTGTCAGAAAAAGAAGTAGCATTTAAATTCAGCTGTAATCTAATCCATTTTTTTGTAACTAAGTTTTCTTTAGTTTGAATTTTACATCTTAATTTTAATTTAAAATAAAATTAATTTACAAGACATTTGTCTCTTGGATACTTACAGCTACAATCTTGATTATCTCATTTCATTTCTCAAATGGAGACAACAGTAACTTATGCTCACGAAGAACTGGGCACAGGTACTTTACAGGCTTCAAAAGTTATGAAGAGTCATTTTTAAACCTGTACTACTCAGTGCTACAGTTTTATTTTCATTGGACAAAAGCTACAATGGTTGCCCGGTACCCATAGCTGTGCAATTCTGCAGGTTAGCTGGGCAAACAGTCTGCATGAGAAACTCCAACAGAGTTCTGAATGGTACTCCTAAATCACTGCAAACCTGCAAATTATTTTGTTATCTGCTTTTCATCTTGAGGTATTGCTGTATACTCAAGCAGGGTATGGTTTGCTGAACTAAGACATACAAGATAAAGAATTTTGTAATTTTCAGTTCTACTAATAAAAATGGTGTTAAAGTCAGTGCATCCCTGAGAGATCTAACTCTAAAAGACTCCATGATCTGCTGTGAATATTACAACTGGGTTTTCATTCCTTTCATCCTGCAAAATCTATAAACGTCTGCAATTCTTAATGCCGACCTTACACCCTTTAAAGGAAATATCAATGTGCTTAAAATATCATCGTGCACATAAAACTATGGGGTTATTTTTTGGCTTAAGAGAAGCAGTATGTGCCTTTTGTAGAAAATAACGTTTGTGTTGTGTAATTTATTTATATAATGGAAAGGGCTAAGGTAGTAAAAATGCTAATTACATAAACCAGTGTTGACCTTGCTCTTAAATCATTAAACGTTTGGAGTTGTTGAGCTTTTAATAAACAAGTATTGTTTTTTCAGCCGACAGCACATTTGACAGTGGTCAAGGGTCCACGGTTTATTCAGACTCTCAAAGCAGCCAGCAAAGTGTCATCTACTCGTCTCTGCCTGATCCAGTACCTCCTGCTATCCAACGGGTCTACAGCCCACCTCTGAGTGAGAGCCAGGCTGTGCCCCACAGCCTTCAGCAGCTGGGGCACTACCAGCAGCCCTCAGGAGTAAGTCTAAAGCTTTTCAAAATTATTTTGTGTCCTAGCTCATACTTAATGCACCATTTATATTCTTCGGTAGATAGATTCCAGGACTTGCCTTATATATTTCTCACCCCTGTTGATGGTGACTTGCTTACTAATACATTTCGAGTTGACCTGAAATATGCGCTTAGAAGATGGTGTATGGCTAGTTATATTTTCCATTCTGAAGAAATGCTTCACTGGCAGCTGTCATATTTTCAGTAAAAAAGCTTTTTATCAATCCATTGTCACAGAACTACGTTAGTAGTTTTGCAGTGATTAGTTTTAAACTCATGCATGTAGTTGAGAACTGTTCTGTTTGGTTTTGTCCATTATTGGTATAGCCACACATTATTGTTCCTTCATTCGTTCAAGAGCCTCTTAGGTCTGATATTCCTTCCACTTGTGGCAAAGGTCACACATCCAGTCACTGCCTTTCTGGCTCTGGGTTTGAATTTAATCTTGCACAGAGTCGGGGTTGTATATCCATTACTGAGGCTCCAAAATTAGGCCCTGGTAGCCCAGTCAGATATCCACACTTGCTCCTGGTTTTGTGCTGTTATGACCTTGACCAAAAGCAATTAATGGAACTACTGGTACAAGAACTAACACATGCAAGCAAACACAAATCTTCAGAAGTCCTTCAGAAACTGTGGCAGCACCATGTTCAAGTTCCAGCCTGCACCCATCACACATGACAGGCAGCGCTCACACTGCCTTTTGATGACACAGCAACCCTGTTGTGGCTTTGACCCCAAACACAACATCCCTTCCCCAGGAACTGGGAGAGGAAAACGTGTATCTGTAGACTAGAGAAGAGGCAGAAGGCACATCGCCTCTGGTGCCACTGGGGACCTCTGCAAACCCTATGGAGCTAATGTTTCCTCAACAGTCTTGTCAGACATGCCTAGTCTATGTAGATCAGTCTGGCCAAGAGCAAAATGTGTCAGAAGTCTTCATGGCTGTTGAAAGTGTTCACTCCCCAGGTAGCCAACTCCCAGAAAACTCAGTGTCTCAACCTCTTCCCCAAATAAACAGGCCATGTGGCAGAAGTTTAGACCTGCCTCTGTTACATGGATCTTTACAATACATAATTAGCCAAAAGATCAGTTCTCCCATGAGATCTGCAAGAGTTGCAGAAAATATTTTGCCTTCTGGATTCTCCAGTGGCAGAGAACCCAGCATGCTTGGACAGTCCCAGCCCTGTTGTAAAGTGTGCGCTGGCAAAATGCCACTAGTGGAGAGCAAGCTGGTGACTGCAGCTACTCTGAGCAGTGGAAGCACTTGCCTAGTAAAAATAACAGAAATGATGTGGTAGGTTAATTATTTTGTTTGTTTGTTTGTTTCATTCTATTTGACTTGAGAAGAAAAATAAAATCCAGGACCAATGTGGTTTTCCTGCTTGATCCAGATTTAACTTATGTACTTGGGACATAATTTTCCCTGGTTTTACCTTATATTTTCCAAAATGACTGCAAGAAATTATGAACTGTGTTTTGTGAATACATTGAAACATGACTCTCTTTACCTGAAGGAAAGAAATTAATCCTTGGCATCTGTAGCTAGCTCTCTCCACTGTGGAAACCACATTCTGTATGTGCATTCATCTCCTGGGATCCATCCTTCCCTGTTTCTTGTTCGCCCAAAGCACTGACTTAACCCCAAATATAGCACTCTAACAGCATATCTTGAGCAATTTTTTTTTTTTTAAATTGAGCTGTGCTGCATGCTCTTTTAGAGCAGGCTTTCTTTTCATTGATAAGTTTCATTGATTTTTACCTAAGTGCATTACTTTTTCATGATTGAGTGTTTGGAAAGATAATAACCTTTATTCATGAGCAAGATATTTCTCATAGCTTTTTATTTTCTGATGGGGTTTCCATATTTTTTTTCTCCCTGCAATAACTTAGGTAAAAAGTTCCAAGGTCTGAAAATATCAACAGACACAGGCAACAAAATTCTGACTCAAAACCTTCCATTTTCCAAGAAAAAAAAAACAAAACTGTATTTATCTGGGAGATTACCAAGACAACAAGCACATGGAGGTGTAGTAGGTTTTTTAGGCTTATGAGCCTCAGTCTGACATACTGTTTATTTTTAATTTATCTACCCTGAGATGAAACTTTAGAGAACTGATGTTGTTACAAACTTTAATTTCTATTTTTTTGTTTGTTTGTTTTCACTTCCACTGTGGTTTCATTTATTTCTTATTTCTTTGTGTTTTCTTGGCATCCACTTCAAGTAAATAACCTGCTTTTTTGGAAGAGAAAGATTCTTTATGAAATTATAAAAATCTTTGTGAAGATAAATTTCTCTTTCACCCAGTTAATGGCTTGTTGTTGTTATTGGTATATTCTCAGTCAATGTGTATGTGCTTTCAGTGTTTTTACTGGTCTCTACTTCCAGAAGGAAATGTAATGCAGTTGGTTGTCTTATTTGGAATTTGCTGACTTTTTTCCACATTTTTCGAATGATTAACTTTACATTCCTTGCAGGTAATTTTTTCATATATTTTTTCCCCCCTCTATTTTGAGCCAAGTACTGATTAGACTATTTCCTTGCAATTATATTCATGATGAACGGTTGTAGAGGCTCATATCATGAGGGTTGCTCTTCTCTAAGGCAGTGCTCTCCCTCCTGCAGCCTGGCCTCCCCACCGTTCAGGCTGCGCCCACAGTGGTGTCCCAGCGGCCTCAGCACTACCAGGAGCCAGTGATGCCGTTCCCTGTGGTCCAGCCCACCACCATGGCCTCCGTGCAGCTGGGGCAGCCGCAGCCGGTGCTGGCCGGCCCACAGGTGAGAGCCAGGTTGCTGCTGAAAAGTGCTTTCCTCAAGCCATTCCCTACCCACACCATGCCTGTGATAAGTTCGGGGTGTTTGGAAATACAGAACTGTCACTTGAGAGACTTGGGGATGGGGCAAAGGGCGCTGGGTTTAAGGGATAGAAGAGTAACGGGCTTGGAAACAACTGCTGTGTGATACCTCGGAATGTCTTGATGTAGTTTAAGACTTCTCTTAAGACTTCTTCACTGTGGTTTAACAGCATTGGCTTGAAGCCTTGCTTTGATTTCCATGTACTGTCTTGGTTCTTGAAAATCGCAGTGTTTTACTAATTTTGTGTTATTATTTGGCATCTCCTTTCTAAAAGGTTAGAAAGAGACTGTCTTGCCTGGTGTCGGTTGTCTTTGAATCCTCAGCAATGCTGCTTTTTTGAGTTGTGCATGCTTGTTAAATATAGTTCAGTATAGGCATCCAGCCAGTAGCTTTGTCTTCCAAGAGAAAAGTCTGTCTCTGAATTGTCTCCAAATAGTAATTCTTTGTGCATTTTGAAATACCGAGTTTCCCCCAAAACCTGTGTTCCCTGAAGGTATTTACAGAACAGCTCTTAAGCAGCCGCGGGGCAGATGGAAGGCTGCAGTCGCCTCCTCGTGCAGAGGTGGTGTCAGCCTCTGAGGAATGCAGCCACAGACCTCTATGACATGGTAATTTGTGGCTTATTGTTGTGATACTACCAAAAACTTGGCTTCCTTCAGTAGAAACTGTTGACAGGGCTGGGGGGTGTCTGTATACTTTGTGACTGGCATAGTTCATGCCTCTCTAAACCTTTTTAGTTACCAACATTTATCTCACAGGTTGCCTTTTTTTAACATGCTCTATTTTTCTGAAAGAATCAGTATAGGAACAATGTAATGTGGTCTCCTCAAAAAGCATATGCTTACGTGAAGTTTTGTCATATATCAATTTTCTCTAATGGGCAGGGATATTCTAGTGATTCTCAGCCAAAACTTTTATACTTATGCAGATTTACGACCTCGCCGGTTGCACAGATCTCTCTAGTGGCCTTTGGAGCTTTATGCTGACAGTTCAAAAGCTGTTGTTTATTCTCCCCTGAGTAAATGCTGCTTTGGAATAGGATATTTGCCCAACTTACTCAATTTTCACATGGCTCTACCTCACAGCGTTGCTGTCTCTTGAAATAATTCTATCCCTGACAGTAAAAGAATATAATAACTAGTCTGTCTGTTTTCTAATCTTGTCAGGAAGCCCAATAAAATACTGACTTTTTAAAGCAGTATTATTGCAGAAATAGATAAAATGATAATTTTCCTATGCAGAGCTTCCTAGAGCACCTGTGTGCCTCAGAATTACGTCTGGTGTTCCCAGAGTCTACAGGCATGATGCCATGAGCAGTCTATTGTAAATGAATGGTAGGGGAGGTCAACAAAGAATAGGAAATCAGGGTAAGAAAATTCATCTGCCAAACAGAATGAAATGTATTGATTTTGTATGAATACACACTGATGGCTCAGAGACATGGGATCAGTTGTTGCATCTCCTCATTTTTTTTTTCCCAGTTTGGCTATCTGTACATTTATAATCATAGAATGGTTTGGGTTGGAAGGGACCTTAAAGATCACCTAGTTCCAACCCCCTGCCATGGGCAGGGACACCTTCCACCAGCCCAGGTTGCCCAAAGCCCCGTCCAACCTGGCCTTGAACCCTTCCAGGGAGGGGGCAGCCACAGCTTCTCTGGGCAACCTGTGCCAGGGCCTCACCACCTCACAGGGAAGAATTTCTTCCTTACATCTGATCTAAATCTGCCCTCTGTCAGTTTAAAACCATTACCGCTCATTCTATCCCTACACCCCTGATCGAGTCCCTCCCACCTTTCCTGTAGCCCCTTTAAGTACTGGGAGGCTGCTCTAAGGTCTCCCTAGAGCCTTCTCTTCTCAGGATGAACAACCCCAACTCTCTCATTCTGTCCTCATAAGGAAGGTGCTCCAGTTTAGCATAATTTATATTGCTATTTTCCCCTCCCTGTGCCTCATCCAATTCACAAGTGTTTTGTAAAACACAAGTTGAATTTGAAATGGAGGCTTCACGAAGCTGCTTAGCTCCATGAGTGCAATTTTTTTGCTTTTAACAGTGTCCTCTTGAGTCGAAGGTGGGTTGGACAGCCTGTGTCAGCATGCTCAATGCTCAGTTATCTGTGAGCAGCCTGTCTGAGCTGCAGATTAACCCAGACAGGAATGCCAAGATACTTGAGCTGGCTTTGGGTGCTGGCAAGGTTTATTAGCTCCAGCCCAGCACACCATGTGTGTGTCTGTTCTGCTCCTGAAGTCAGGTTGGGTCTGGCAGGAGTTTCCCATGTTGCAGAGCTCGTGCTGTGGGATGAGTGGGTACCCCGATGCCTCGGGTGGCTCCATCTCAGCTACTTTGCTCTGTCTCATCACCAGGTTCAGACCAGCTCCCACTGAGCCGCTTGTTTGTGTCAGTGCTGCCATTCCCTTGAATTTAGGATTTTAATTGAGTAAATGCCCCTGCTTTCCCCAAACCTGGAATGGCAGAAACTGCAATACAGAGCCGCGTCATTGTTTTTTTCTTTAATGTGGCAAGGTGAACACTCAGGACTAATAAACGCCGCAGGTGCTGTGCAGAGCTGTTCAGTGCTGTCTTCAGCCTGTGTTGCACTGCTTGTGGCATTCGGTGCCTTCAGCCCCAGATATTTGATACCTATCGCCAAACACTTTTGTTCACTGATCCTTGTACTGCAAACTTACCAATCGTGGTTGAATTTGAGCTGTTTAAGGGTGGATGGCATCTTGCTTCCTTAATATATCTTCTACAGTTTTATTGTATTAATACCTAAAAACTGTTTGAAGAATCCTGCCTCTAAAAAAGTGTAGAGAAAAATATTATAATACTGATTTACAGTGGAAGTGGCAAAGATAAAAGATTATAATGCTTGGCTATTCATTTTAAAGTTACATTTTGACCATCGGGCATGGTGTTAGGTTCTATGTGCTGCAGAGCCAGGGTGAAGTAATCAATCCTGTGATCCCAAATAGTTCAATCCAGAGCCAACTTGGTGCCTTGGTGCCATCCTTCCAAAACAGAAGATTTTGGTGTGGTTTGGTTTTTTTTTTAGTACTTTCTAGCATGAATTAGAGTAACTGAAGAAGGAGATACTGGCAGCATGGAAAATGTGAAGGTTTGTTACTGATTATTTTCAATTTTAATGCAGCTTTTTATTTCTGTTCTACTACGTAAAATTTGGCAGGTCAGCGGAGCACTGTTTTCCCTGGAAGGGTAAAACTGCTTTTTTGGCTGCCACATTGTTACTACAGCACTTCAGAAATAACTGTGATCCAGCTTTTACTATAATTATTGTGTTTTATTCATGTCTCAGTTAATAAGTGTTGTATATTTCAATGCCTGCTACATTATGTAGTCAGCTTTTGAATGCCAAGATTAGTTAGGTATAATCTGCATAGTAGGAATCTTTGAAGTTAGTAGGTGGAGATTTTACATGGCCAACTAGAACAGTCTCTGGGACTTGAAGAGACTGAGTCATTACAAATAACCTTTCCGACACAGTTAGAACTTGTCTTTTCAGGAAATGTATCTTGCATTTAAATGTGTTTTAAACATAGGCTCTCATACAGTGTTTAAATTAGGAGCACTCTTCTCTTCTACAAATCGTCCCTACTCCAAGTGACAGCACTGTTCTGACTGTGCAGTTTGAACTAGAGAAACTGATGGCTCTGTCCAGTGAACTGGTTCTTTCATAATATACAGGCTATAACCATTGTTATTCTTTTTTTTCTTTCCTAGCAGCAACCCATATCACAGCAAGCTTCTCTGCAGCAGGTGCTTGCCAGCCAGCCAGTTTGCCCAATGCAGCCTGCAACCCATCTGTTACCCCAGTATCAACCCCAGACCTCTCAGGTGGCAGCTAGCCCTACACCACTAAAACCCCTTCAGATTTCAACTGTGCCACAGCTTCCGCCAGTGGCCCCTTCCCAGGTAATATCTTTGAAAACTGTGTGTAAATACATCCATTTGAGTAAAGCTTTCTAGCTTAATTAACATAATTTGCATTTTTTGTGTGGCTATTTTGAATGCATGCCAATTTAATTAAGAACAAGAATATAGCTTTTTCCTAATTCCTGTATATTTCTTTACTATGTGTTTTTGTTTGGTGAAGGAAAAATCTCCTTTGTGAGTAATCCTGTGTCATGCCTAGAGAACCCAATTAATGACAGTTAAAAAATTGCAATAACTGCCTTTTTTTTTTTTTTTTTTTTTTTAAAAGTTGCCCATTTTTTCTTTTTCTGAGCTCCTGACTTCACCACTTTCCCCAGCACCACATGCACCCCTCCCTAGCCCTCAGCCCTGTTTCTGTTTTCAGTACCAGGGACGGACCCTTTCCTTGGCCTGGAAGGGTTTGTTGGTGCTATTGGTGTGTTTGCTAGTGACAGCCCCATGTTGTGAAGCAGCTTGTGGCAAAGGGAAGAAGCAAGCTGCTTCCGTGATGACTGTAGTTATAGTCGGCTACATCACTGGGAGGTTTTGATTATAAAAACCCTTTTATGGGATCTTCTGTGCTGCCTTGGTTGCAGTCAGCCTGTTTAAAGGCAAGGGTTTTAAATTGTCTCCCTGAATTTTGCATGAAAGAATTTTGCATTTTGTCTGGTCCAATTCCTTTTCGTTTCTGTTAAAATGAAAGCAACTTTTAATTACTCTGTTGATTGAAGGCTGCAAGCTAGTTTTAGAAATAGTTTTAAGCTTCTAAGGTATAAAAACATCCCACTGAAATGAAGTTTTTTTTCTCTTTTACTAATGATTTAAGCATAAATCAGTTTTTATTACTGTTTATAAACCTCAGGAAATGAATGGAAGTGATTAACAAACAGACATAATTATCATCATGGTACAGGTGATTTTTACATACTTGTATGGCAAATGAAACTACTTTGTACTATCAGTGAAAGCACTTGCAATTTATGTGATATTATATTTTTTTCAGATTCCTCAGTTTCCTGTCATTCCTGCAATTACTCCTCTGGCAGGACTTGACAGCCTTCCTCCAAACCTCTCTGACATGCCTGCTGCAAATGTGCCCCCCATACCTGCTCCCTCTCAGTATTTTGCTCCCGCTGTGATTTTACCCAGCCTCCCCATGAACCCCACTCTGCCTATGGCACCAAACTCCCCTGCCCTCCCCATGCAGGCAGTCAATCTTCCTCATACCACCGTGGCTTCTTTGGTCTTGCCCTGCCAAACGATAGTGCCAAATATGTCAGCTGCTACGATACCGTTGCTAGCCGTGGCTCCGCCAGGAGTGCCGGCACTGCCACCGCACCACGGGGTGCCCCAGCTCCCCCAGCAGCAGATGTACCAGCCCACCTTCCAGCAGATCATTCAGAGCGAAGCGCCCTCTCCCCATCACACGCAGAGCACGCAAGCAGTGTCCCAGCCGCAGCAGCCTCCACCTCCTCAGTCCCTTCAGCCAAGCATAATTCATCCTTCCGAGCAGACTCTGGCCGCGCCTGGGGCTGGTCACCAGGTAATGCACTGGGTGCGGGGCTGTGTCGGTGCTGGACCCTAGGGTGGCTGCTGAACGCAGGCGTTCCTGGAGCTTGCTCCCCTGTAAACACGCAGTGGGGAGGTTTTTTTCCCTTGGTCTGAAGATGTTTTGTTAACGCCTTGACCTTGGTCCTGGAGGTGGTTGCTCAAGCTCTAAAGTTGGGTGGAACAGGTGAGGTCTTAATCCAAAGACAGGTGAATATTGAGGGCCTGTAGGGAATAATCTTGCAGGCTTTGGAAAGTGAGCAGATGAGCATTTTTGAAATCCCTCTTCCTTCTCCCATCTCAAATATGGAAGAAGTATGAGCTGTCATTCCCCTGTGACAGGCGGAGCCATGGCAGCATTCGCACAGCCTTGCTGATGCCTTTACTCCGGGCTGCGCATGATGTGTAGGCTGTTGTGTTCTCATGGCAAAATATGGGTGAGTTGGCAAGAGTTATAGAGTTGTTTTGACGTAGAACTGCTTTAAAACAGTAAAGGGAAATGGCCATTCATTATCAACTCCAGAAAACTGCATGCAAGAGGTCTATCAGACAAGAATGAATTCTAGCTGCAGACCCTTTCCACCTTGAAAGAAATGAAGCAAAAAATGGAGCTTCTAATATTAGCGCTGTCAGCAAGAGAACTGGTTCAGGACTTGTTGACAGAGTCTGTAAATACTTCTATTGCCACATCTGTGATATGACAACATGAAATGCAGCCTGACACAAGCAGGAGAAGACACTAAATCTGTTAATAATAGTATTCTTGAAAAATCTGTGTTCCACTATATCACTTTGCCATAACATATTAAAATTCATAACATCCCATTTCGACCTGCCGTATCATGGCATCTTCAAAGTCGTACATCATTTTAAAATTTCTCTCCAACCGTATATTTGGTACAGAAATACTGTTTGTGAAAATGCAGGCAACACAGAGCCTGAGACAGTTGCTGCTGAGCTTGTTACCACAGTGTTTCCAATGGCTTTAGAGGGATTTGATTCAGGCCCATTATGCACAGCAAGTATGGCAAACACCAGAACTGGAGAACTGATATTCTCAAACTGTTAACATGGTCATTATCTATCAAATATGTATGAAAGAATTGCGTAGTAATATTTTTAGGATTTTAAAAAAAAGCTATTACAAAATGGACAAGTGTAGAGGAATATTCAAACAAACAGTGGTCTACATTTTGAAGTACTTTTAATGGAGAGGTATTTTTGTAAATAAATGCTTTCCAATGCATTGCTGTTTTGGCAGTTGGTGTTTAGCACCTCTGAGTTTAGTTTTGCCCAGGTAAATTATACATTGAAACATTTTGTGAATTATTCTAGTTATAGATTTTTTGTAAAAAAATTTAAAAATCACTGCTCTTCTGCAATGTACACCACAGTTGCTATTCTAGCAACCTCCACTTAGGCAGTCGTGTAACTGTTATGTGTTGCAAAGCACATCGTGTCTTTATTTTTATCCACACTAAAACCTGGAATAATAATTTTGGCTCATATCCAGAATCTGCAGAGAACATGCAGTAATGAAACTGTGTGGCCTAGTTCTCATCTGAGTCTTGATTTTTTTTTAAAGAATATATTCTCCAAATAGTCTAAATCTCTAGGTGATTATACTTTAAAAAAAAAAAAAGTAAGTAAAAATTAAGCAGAGCTTTTACCTAAGCCTAAGTCGTAAAAAGCCTTTTTTCATCCCTATTTTCCTTTCTTTCCTTTTTCCTCTTCACACAAGCTCAGTCCCCTTGTAAAAATATATGATGTACCGAAAAAGGAGAATGTTCTGTTCTTAAATGTACAGCTCAAAAGAACTGTTATGCAGAATAGTAACATAGTCTCTAAGGTAGCTGGCATCTAATCTCATCGGTCCCCGTTCCCACAGAGTGCTTAGGCACACAAGTTATTTTAATGCACTGAAGAAATCTTCTGAGATACATGAAACTTCCTCTGTGTGTGTAACACAAGGAAGTGTTTGCAGGGTTGGGGCCTTGGTACTTAGCATGTCAGGCGTTATTGTGTCTTAAGTGTTTAAATGGAAAACAATGTGTTCTGTGAGTAAAAAAAGAGTTGACTGTGTGGTCTATACCAACTACTGGTTCTACATATGTAGCAGACTTAAAAAAAAATCCTAGTTTAGGTTATGGGTAGAGTATCTTTTTCTCTTTGTGGACATTGTAATAGTCTCATTGAAAGCAGAGCAAACTATTCAGGACAATGAATTTGTAGTCTAAATTTTAATTTCTTAACAAAATATGGCTTTGTTTCTACAAATTAAATAGCACCTGAGCAATACACAAATTGTCATAATTATATAGGAAAAATCCTTAGGTTTTTATTTGGCCATTTGAAAGCAATTTTAAACTCTTAAGTAGTTACCTTTCCAAGCAGAGACCACACAAATACAGTCTTGCTACGGAATTATAATCCTTTCTCTCAACTCCAGTGGCTTTAATACCTTGTCATGTAAATCACAAGCACTCTAAGTAGAGAATTGTTTTAATAGCTGTCTGTTGTGTTACAGCAGATTACTGGACACACTCAGTACACTGTGGAAGCTGGAGCCCAGGTGCCCGTGCTGCCTGTGCAACCTTCGATAGTCATGTCACCACCTTTGCAGTTGCAGCCTGAACTGTTGCCTCCCCGCGTCGCTCCAGAAGGCATTTCACAGATTCATGGCAGCCTTGCTACAGCTAGTCCGTCCATCCCCATAGATCATTGTCTGCCTCTTCAGCCTTCTGGCCTGCTTCAGCTTCAACCCGATCTTGCCCCGCCGCTGGGTCAGCAGGTCCCAGCTCCCTGCTCAGCTGTCCAGGCAGAGACATCTCAAGAGGTAGAGCCATTTCCTCTGAAGTAACTTGCCAGTCTCACCCTTAACCTTCTTACTCCTTTGTGAAATAATGGGCTTATTTCACAAGGGAGATTATCCGCTCTCACCATATAGAGCTGCTTGTCCTAGATGCTAGCAACTCTGGGTCAAACAATAATCGACTATTTCAAATGAAGCTGGAAACTACATGTTGTACCTTGTGAAATGTCTTCTTGAAGTAACGAGGCAGTAGGACTAAGTACTTCTTTGTCCGTAGCTGGGCACAAACACAGAGATAGAAACGACTTTCTTTTACGTGCCTTGGGTCAGTAAGAAGTTGTTCTGTAGAGTTTCATCCATGTTTTGTCCAGTCTTGTTTTAAATGTCTCAATTACTTGTGCAACCTGCCATCGTTTGCCTTAAGAAACTGCTTCAATCTGATTATTCACTGTGTAAAAGCTCTTCATACTCCTCAGCTTGAGCCTTATTTCCATTTCATTTAGCATCGTATCCTCCTGTATTGCCTGAATTCTAGTCTAACCCTGGGATTTTTATTTCTTCAGCTATTTTTAAGCATTTTCAATTCTCAGCGATCATATAAGCAAAATATATTTAGTTTTCTTTATAAAACTGTCAGCTCCTCCTGTCTGCTATTTTGACTTTTCTTTCCACTCCCATAATTGTTTAACCTTCCCTCTTGACAGAATGTCACAGAACATTTCCTTCTCTTCAACTCTTTAATATATAACCATAAGCAAACCAAAATAAAGGTTTTGGCACTTGTACCAGATTTCAGGAAATAAGTCTATTTTGTTCTCCACTTCTCAATGGAAATGTCCCTCAGCAATTCTGCTTTCAGCATTGTTCTTCTTGAGGCTCTCTGTTCTGAGCTACCTTTTCTCCCGAAGTAACAGTTTTCATCTTTTGAAACCGAATCTCTTTTGGTTTTACCCATGCTTTCCATGCACTTGTCACATGCCTTGACTACACAGTACACCCTACAAATTTCATTAGAGGTACAGCTTAACTCCTCTTCCAGAAGATGTCCAGTAAGGATACTGCTAACACTGAAAGTAGATTCTAGTTCCCCATTTTGCCTGTCCTTCTAGTGGCAGCCTAATTCTTGTCAAATAAATATTCATACTGTGATGTAGGACATTTTCTGCTGAATCTCTATATCCTGTAGGTTAGATACAGCAGAAATGGTAGAACCTGTCTGTAGTACTTCACTTGCAGAAGCCCCAGGTAAAGCCTGGCTGTGTCAGGCATATCCCTTACTCAAGGTATTTCTTCTCCAACTGCCTTTTTTCTGTATGCGCAGCTCATGTCAGGTTCAGTGCTGATGCGAGAGCTACAGCCTTCAGTGCAGGGTCCATCCTGTTAGAGGTTCCAGAAATATGAACAAACCTCGTTGTTGTGCAGTGTGATATGGGGGATACAAGTTGTCCTATAGTACCTGAGAAATCCATGCTCACTGAGGCACATGTGTGTACTGTCACTTTATCGTATCCCTGGGAACATTTAACCACTGTTTGCTAACTTCATTCTCATATTTCATCTTTAAATTAACTCCCTTCTCTCTTTGAATTTAAGAAATCAATCCGATATCATAGCATGGTCAAATTTGTTCCCCATGCTGACTTTATGACATATATTGCTAAGGTTTTCTTGGGTGTAAGAGGAGTTTCATATCTGTATATATTTGACACACTACATTTTGTTGCTATTCTGCCATAATGTTTTTATCTCTTTTGTTTAAATGTGTGGCAGTGCTCACAACCAAACCAATCTTAATTGATCAGGCAAATGAAATTTTGTAAAGCACTTGATCAAGTGCAGTACTGAAATTTAGATACATTATGTCTGTGTTCTCACTGTTCATTAATTTTACAGTTTTATTAAATTGCAGTCAAGCTTGGCATGGCATATGTGTGGCATTATAAGCAGTGAGTGGGGTTGGCTGGTTAACCACTAAGCTTTTAACTCCAGTCTACCAACTGCTTTGGTATTAAGATATAGTGATGACAGTCAAGGGGCTTGTTTCTAGCTGTTTTTATAGGCATATGTTTGTAAAAATATATATAAATACATATAAAATTATATATAATTATATATATTTAGGGTGTGTGTATATCCATGCACAGGTGTGTTTGTAAGTTGGTTACAGTGGAGCCAGTAGCATGGTCATCACAAATCCTGTGAAAGCAGGTCTGCCTGATGCGAGTCACACTATCGACATCTGTCCTATAGCATTGCAACCAGTGAAAAGGAAAGCTTTTAGGGAAAATTTCTATTTTGTAGAAAGCCAGAGGACATTATATGAGGGTGGTGTTTTTAAATGATGAATTTTCATCTTTTATTTATAAATTGCCCAGAAATTTTCACAATAAGCCAAATAAAATGAAAATACTTAACACATATCAGGAAACTATACAAAGCAACAAAGCAAAATACCTTGTACTTTATATCCATTCAAAAATAAAATTAGTTAGGTGCTGACATGGATTTGTCCTGCAATCAAGTTTTTCCATCGTGGTGAGAACAGTTTTGTTTCTTTCACCACCTCTTCTGCTTTAGAGACAGCAGAAGAGAACTAGCAGATTAATGGCTCTGCCTTAAGAAGTGGTTGTGCACAGATACTGATGCCTTAGAAGTAATGTCGGGAGGGTAAAATGGGACATTTATTTTTTTCTGAGTTCCAAGAATTGGTTAAACAGAATGGTTTAGGATCACCAGTGTCTCAACAGCAAAAGCTTTCTTAAAGGTGTTTTTCATCTGCCAATACAATGCATTTACTTAAATTACTTTTTCTTCCATTTTAGGAGCAGGCAATACAGGACAAACTTCAAACTCTGTCACAGAGCTGTGAAAGGTATCATTATAATCTCTTCGGCATAAGAAATGTTTTCTTTCTGGAGGCTGTTTTTCCTCTCTCTTTACAAGGCTGGGCCAAATGCCTGGCTTTTGCCTTGGCTGAGAGAAGAGTAGCAGGAGCTGACCAGGAGAAGATGGAAGGTGCACATCTAAGGAGAAAGCTGCAAATGTGCTGTGTGCAGTGCGCCTGTTTTGACTCCTCCAACTCTTAATTCTTTAGTTTGGGTGCTGTATCATGTGTGTACAACAGCTCTCATTTCAGAATGTAACTTCTCTTTTTGTTAAGATAACTGAAGTGGTACAGTCCCTGATTTTGATGATGTTGAATCAGTATAAAAACACACTGTGCTAGTATAATTGGGTATGCCTGTACCATCTTCTGTAATAATCTTTCCCTAGGTATGTTACTGGAAATGGGTATCGGTGAGAGTTGTGTGTTGAGCTGCTCAAAGGTATTGTTACAAGTGTTAGAACATGCGGCCAAAGCCTGGTCTGTGGTTTTGCAGTACACAAGGTAACGCTCGAGCCTAGTTAATGCTCATGACAGAAGTAATGATAAATAACCAGGTCCAGCTCAGCACTCCTCAGAAACAAAGCAAATTTCAGTTTTTGCCATCCCTTATCTACCTGTTTCTGTACTCAGAATCAGAAGGGGAAGTAGCAAGGTTTAGAGGAAGCAGTGAAGAAGAGCTGTGGAGAGGAAGGCTTACTGCTGGGCTGCAGAGGGGCTGAGCAGGGGCAGTGGTTGCTGGTTTAGGGGCAGGACTGCCCTCCCCAGGCATCTGCTGCTCCTGTGCTTCAGCTTCTGCTTCAGCACCTGCAGCAAGCCAGATTTTTCATTGTTTGGATATGGATAAGGTAGATACAGGGTGTATTTGTTAGTATCTGGATGCCTTGCCTATTGCAGGAGCCAGCACCAACTTCATCCTTTGCGATTAGGATTTTAGTGAGCTTTTTCTGTTTTCCTGAATAGACGAGTTAAGTTTATGAACTTTGAAGAAACCTCTCTTCCTGTTTTCATTCCCCCCTACCAAAGAAGTTAGCCTGACACAAGTCAGTGCAATCCTGTGATCTTAAAATGGATCATTTTTTACCAAGAACTTTCTACTTTTAAATACTGCATGGAAAGTGAAATCTAATTTTTCATGACTATAGGTTAGTTCTGGCTATAAGTTATACAAAATTAGTGCATTTTGTCTATCTAGTCTGTTGTAGAAAGGCGCAACAAATTTTCAGTCATCTTTTGAATTCTAATTTTCCTGTCCCAGAATTGCATTTGAAAAACTGACTGTCATGACTACAGCAGCATGGAGAGCCTGTGTCAGCACACATCCTGTAGTCATAGAGGAAGGTCTCTTTTCCAGGTGCATAGGTAACTCAGCACTGGAGCTGAGTTGTGCTTTTGTAGAGTGGAAGGTAATGGCACATGGATCAAATGGCTGACAATTGCAGCAAAGATACTGCCTAGAGTATATGTGCAAAATGTGTTCATGTTCCTAACATATGAGTTACACATGCGGGGTAGCTGCAGAAGTAGTAGGAATAAGCTGTTCTATGTGACTAGTGCAGAAGAAGCAGAAGTATTAAATTTAAGAACAGGATCCATAGGTTAGATTTCAAATCTTTTATGCCTGTCTGGCTAAATGAACACAAGAATAAATTGTCCAGGGAGGTTATGAAATCTCATGGGAGCTTCGTAAGATGAGTTTACCCAAACCTCTGTGGGGACTGGTTTAGACAGAGCTGATCATACCTTGGGTAATAAATAGGCCAGATGGCCTTACAAGGTTCCTTCCTGACATGGTTTTTATGAACCTCTCAAAATTTCCTGCAAATTACTTGCATATTGATGTTTTCTGTACATGTCATATTACAATAAGATTGTTAGCAGCTACTGTTTTGGCTGCTAAAAAGAATATACTAGCTGGGCAACTGAGATATTGTGGCATAAAAACTTCTTTCTGATCCTTGAGAACTGCAGAGAAAGGAGAGATAGTCTCTTCCAGGATGCTGTACCAACTTCTCACTCTTTTCCTTCATTTCTGACAAACATAAACTGACTCTGTTCTGACAAACATAAACTGACCTTCTGCTGTGAGTGCAGACAGGCAGGAACTGAGAAAACTGGACCTAAGAAAAATAGGAACTTGTGCAGTTCAAAGAGGGACTGTAAGGACCCTGAAGTGGTTAGGGGGATGTAATGATATATTGAGAATAATGGGACTTTCCCGGTGGTGTTGGTAGAAATGTTAATAGATAATTTCTTAGTAGGTGTGATAGCCAGAGTACATGCCTGACTTAGAGTAGTTCCCCTTCACTTACTGAGCATCTTTCAGTAGCTGTCTCAGTTTGGGCCAAACGAATGCAGATGTGCTCTTTTTTTGCAGTCCCTGTTGTTGTGTATCTTACCTATGCATAACTCCATTGCGTGTGATGGTGGTTTTATTTTGGGGTTTCTCTTCCTTTCTTTTACAAAGCTACATGAGTCCAGATGTTGCTTCGGGTAAAGAGATGAGTGACAGCTTTGAAGGAGCAATAGGAAGTGGAAAACAAGAAGGAAAGTCATCAAAGAAACATAAGAAATCCACACGTGCTCGTTCACGCCAGGAGAAGTCCAGCAGACCAAAGCTGACCATACTAAATGCAAGTACAACCTCTTTGAGGGTAACTTTAGGATTCCTTTGACTTTGCCAGAAATAACTGTGTTAATCTTTGCTTGCAGGTTTGTAACACGGGGGATAAGATGGTGGAGTGCCAGCTTGAGACACACAATCACAAAATGGTGACTTTTAAGTTTGATTTGGATGGTGATGCACCAGAGGAAATTGCTACTTACATGGTAAGACTTGGTGATGCAGCTGCCCACAGTCTCTTTCTTAATGCACCAAGTTGCTTCATTCAATTTATTCTCGTGTGTCTTGTTGGCCAAGCTTTCTGGTAGCTGTGGAATGGGTTATTAATAGAAACGTTACTGGTTTCCTCTTTATTTTGATGTGGCCTTATAGGTAGAGAATGAATTCATATTGCAGAGTGAAAAAGAGACATTTATTGAACAAATGAAAGATATTATTGATAAAGCAGAAGATATGCTCAGTGAAGATACAGAAGGAGAACGAAGTTCTGATCAGGGAATGAGTCCCCAACAAGATGCTGATAGACTGGAAATGAATGAGGTAAGAAATGTTAAATAAAAGGTTTCTAGTTTGTTTCCTTTTTCTTAACAGGCAGTTACTGTAAATCAGCTTTACTTCCTGTGTTTAAAAAAGAAAAGTTTCTTAGCTAGAAATATAATGCTTTTACTTCATTAACTCGTACAACATGAATGCTCCTTGAAATGATGCTGTCTCATATCAGTGCAAGAGGAACACTAGTTCTGTTTTGGGCTTATTTTTGTTTTTTAACAGGAGAAGCGTCAGTCTCAAATGAAGACACCCGTGTATCAACAAAATGGTAAATGTCCTTTGAATACAAACTTAATCTCAATCTTTAAGGCGGTGGTGAGTTGATGCAGAAGTTGGCTACATTCAGGAAGAAAACCACCAGTTACTGCTGGTTGAAAATATATCTAGAAATATGGGTATAACAGTGATCCCAGCTGAGCGCAACCTGGAAGATCACAGGGCTAACCTGGATAAATCCAGTATCTGGGGATGTTTAGGTAAGCCCTGAATTACACAGGCTGATAGGCAGTGGTGAAAAAGTCAGGAAGGTATGGGCAAGAATGATTTTTTCACAACAATAACTCTGTTTGCAAGAGAAAGCTGAAAAGTTATGTTTACGTTGGTAATTTAATTGAAATTTCTAACCCATAAGTTTTCAGCTACTTTGGTATTACAGGGGCAATCTTGGCCATCTGAACACAACGTATCTTACGGGTTTGACAGATAAATTGAGTGGGAAGGGAACTGGCCCTTGATTCTCTCTGTAAGTGCATGCTGGTGGGAAAAATGAAGACACTGCTGATGGAATTGTTTCCAAAATTCTTGTTACACAACATCACATGCAGTATTTGCTCCATGCTGACAGGGGAAGAAGGATAATTTAGAACTTCTTTGACAAGTGCAGAAACGGAATCTGCCAAACTAGACTTTCTGCTCCAAAGATCTGGTTTATTTTTTGCCTGTAAATGTCATAATTTTCTCAGTACACCTGCTTTAACACAACATTTATGTTTCTACTAATGGTAGTTACAAGGTGTGTATAGTTCTGGTTTGCCATTTACATGTGCCAGGCTTTGAGATGAGATGTGAAAGAAAATATTAGCTGGGAAGCTTCCAACATGTTAAGCTGGATAAACGCTACAAAATTAACAAAATTTTTCACTGTGAGAAAACTGTCCATAGTACTGTTGTTAAAGTTTTCATGTATGGAACTATTACCCTTCTAAAAGTATGAACACTTGAAAATAAATTTTCAAATAACATATGTGGCAGAACTGGGAGGCATCACTGTGTCCTTTCCAGAGACATCTCAGGAGAAGGGATAAGAATCAAATTAGAAGCCCTTGATTTAATCTCGGCTAATACTGTAGAAGTTCTGATTTTCTTTTCCAAACATGGAAATTTTGACAGATGTCAGGTTTTGACAGATCTGGAATGAATGGGATCTGCTGTGTTTACTTTTTATTTTCTTTTCATCTCTAGTTTTGCATACTGGAAAAAGGTGGTTTATCATATGTCCTGTTGTGGAAAACCCTACTACTGATGCACCAGAATTTTCTCCACCAGTACCTCAAAGCACACAGCAGTCTGAAGGGCCAGGTATTTACAAACTTCATAGAAAATGTTTTCTTCTCTGGAGCTGCTGTATCATCTCTATTCTATTCTCACCTGATTTAGCTGTGGTTTGCTTTACTGCATTTAATTGGAGGAGGAAAATGATCAATTTGAAGTTTTGCATTTCAAGTGTGTTCCTCGTATTGAACCACATTAGGAATGTTTACCCGAGTTTCAGGAAAGTCTCAACATTTAATTCTGCCTCATGCTATAAGGTGGCTGAAGTTCTAGTCACTGCCGTTTTAATAAGCAGTGTCTTTTCTGGGAAATATTTTTGCATAATCTGCAATGTTACATTCTAATTTGACTTGTATAACAGTTATTTTCTGACAGGAAGTGCTAATGGGTTACAGCTAGATATGGTTATCACTGCAGCTAGTCAGGAGTTTTTGCAGTGACTTTCTTCTCTTCATTCTGTGCAGCTCATTAAAAAGTTAATTTGATGTTTGTGCTCTTTCTAGACCTGGAGCAATCAGATGATCAGCAAGTGAGCGCTGTGGTGACGGATCTGCCTCGTGTCTTAGCTGGCCAGCAGCTTCCCCTCCAAGCAGGTGTATGTGACAGCCCCATCGGAGCCTCTTCATCTCTGTCACAAGTTCCTTCTGCAGCATCTTCCTCCGGCTTGCTGAGCCAGGCAGAGTTTCCAGCTCCGGCGCTACCGGGATCCGCTCCAAATATCCTGGAGCAGGCAGCTGCTAGCGGCGCTCAGCAGGAGTATGCTCCTCTGAAGGCAGCGGTGCCCGCCCAGCCAGGCACTCCTGCCCCCCATGCTGCCTTGCTGGAGGAGCCTCCGGACACTCCCCCCGCACCTCAGCCCCTGCCACCACCAGCCGACGAGGGTACGTGTGTCCCCGAGGTGGAGATCGCCTGTTGCAGCGTCGGGCCGCACAAGTTGGTCCCGGCAGCCCCCGCAAAGGCAGCGGAGCTCTGCCCGCTCCCCGTGCTCCCGGATTCCATGGTTTTGGAAAGGCAGCCTGCGGTGCAGGTGCCCCACCTGCCCGAGGCCGGGCAGCCCGCTGTGGTGCAGCACTCCTTCATGAACCAAGTGTTCCCTGCGTCCGCCACGTCAGACCCTCTCAGCCTGGCAGGCTCTCAGCTCCAGAGCCCCACTCAGGTGCCAGTGGCCACGTCCCAGCAGCACGCCATGCTGTCCCAGGCGCAGCCCGTGGCCTGTGCCGGCGTGGGGATCAACCTGCTGCAGCAGCAGCAGCCCAGCACCGCCGAGTCCGACGGAGAGGGACCTCCCCGGGTGGACTTCGTCGACAACACAATAAAAAGCCTTGATGAGAAATTGCGCAATTTACTTTACCAGGAATATGTTCCTACTTCTTCTACATCAGCAGGGACTCCAGACACCTCTGTCCCATTAGAACAGGGTGACAGTGAATTTAACTTGCCCCCTTTTCCTGAAGATCAAGTTCCCACATTGGATTTGAGAGAACCAGTCCACAACGTTGCAGATACCAGCCAGGAGGTGAAAACTGCTGCCGAGGCCCAGTCGGTGCCATCTGAGGTCTCACCCTGCCCAGCACTGGTTAGTCCAGCAATGACTCTGCCCTTTATACCCCCAAATCCAGCTGTTAGGGAGAGCACCAGCAAGCCTGTGGTAGGACATGTGTACATTTCTTGCTTCTCTGAACATTTTATATTTCTGCTCCTGGGTATATTGCACTTTGTTGACTGCTTTCCAGTGTGAAAGTTCTCTTAAATTTTTACTGTCAGATGCATTTTGACTCATCTTACATAAATGCTTAATAATGAAAGCTGACCTTTTCCTTTAAGTGTGGTATAATATCTTAATTAATTCTCCTCCTCTTGTGTCCTGTTCCTGAAGCAAGCAGAAATGTGATAAGTTTTAAGAATGTAAAATATGTGAGGGCTATAGTCATTCAAGTTCTGATGAAGATAATCATACTCAATAGGAAACTTTTAAAAATGTAAATTAATGGCAGCGATTATAATGCCTGCCTTCTAAGTCAGTCTGAATACAATTAAACACCTTGGGAGCCTTTGCTTTGTTCAAGTGTTGCAGCTAAAGGATAACAATCCGTAGGTAGAAGCTTACACTGCTTCTAGTAATTTCTTTTGTCTTCCATGAACTTGGCAGAGCAAGACTTTGCTAGGAAGCATCTAAGGAAAGCTGGAGCAGGTGGTCTGGGTCATTATTTACTTAATGTCTCAATTGTGCACCTGTGTTGTGTTCTTTCAGATAAAATCCTGAGTTTATGGAATTCAACAGATTTGCAGCACTTTCAGCTAGAAAATCAGTGTATATCTTACTTGAAAAGTAGCATTACTGGAGGTAATTACCTCACCACTAGCAAGGATGAGGCTGTTTCATATAGCATTTGCTTGATGAACTGTATCAACTGCTTAAAAGATTTTCCATGTTACAGAAAAGATGGCTGCACTTGAGTAACTCATTAGAGCATATTGTTTATAATCATAAATTACTTTCTACGGCAGATAAAATTCTCTCTTTATAAAAGGTGTTACGTCTCCCCAGTAATTGGAGTTTGTCCTATTAAAGTCTGGGCCAATATGAGAAAAGAGACATAGAATTTCTGAAGACAGTCATACAGATGAAGAATATACAGTCTGGCTGGAAAAGCAAACCAGAACAAAACCCCAAACTGAGAAAGATAGATGTATATATATAATAGATATATATATAAAAACATATAAAAAATTCAGTGCCTGTTTTTTAGTAACTTAGGCTGCAGTTCCCTCTGTGACATGGCCACTGCTTTTTTTCTTCCAAGAGAGGAAAAAAAATGCAGGAGTTGGAGAAAAAGCTAGAAGGCCACTTCCACAGACACTATACAATAGTTTACTATTCCACAGTAGTGTCAGGGCGGAGAGGGAGGGAGAATGCATTGCCTTTCTGCTTTGTGTGTGAGACTGAAACTCTTCTTTTTTCTTTTTACTGAAAGTTTGAAAAGTCAGAGGTCAGTGGCATCAGTACTCATTCCTCAGAAGCAAGAGGTGGGTCAGCAAGCAGAAAAGGTAATGCGCCTTTCGGTGATGAACAACGGTGATGCATCTGTACTAGTGCGTGGTCCTCTTTTCCAGTGACCCTTTGCTGCTCCCCCTCTGGTTAACTGCAGAGCATTGCCAAGCACAAGGCATTTCTGATCCTATTTGTAATGTAAATTAATATTAAACATCTTACTTCTTCATCTGCCCATTAAGAAACTGGGTATTTATTATGCTTCATGTACCCATCTTGCAAGTCATGGGAAGTTTTAAGGGCTGAGGAACCCCAAACTGATCCTGCTGTCATGAGTGGGGTTGAGGAGGGCTTATATATTTTTTTGGCAAAGCTGGATACCAGGTTTGTGCAACAATGTAGAGCATTCTTGTCCTGGTGGATGTGGATCATCCACTGCTTTTAGGTCAATGCGAGGGGAAAACATTGGGTAGCCTGAATTCATCTGTCTTGCTGCAGACCAAGAAGAGTAGGCAAGTGGAATGTAGCACTGTGTAGTAAAATTAATGTATCTTGGATACCATGAAGCAGTGATGTATCTCACCATTTCCTAACTATGCAGTGACAGATTTTTGCCTTATGTTCACTCTCTGCAATGTGCCATAAGCTTTCTGAAAAGCTTGCATTTATTGGTTTAACTTCAAAACCAGCATTCAGATTGTGAAATAATCATGTCTTGATTACTGCCACTAATATTTAGCTTCTTGCATGCTTCTGTGGTCAGTGGGCACCTTTTGAACTTCTAATTTCCACTTTCAACAATGTGCATTTAACTCCATTTCAGGCACTTGTAATGGTTGGTACCAGTATTGGTCAAATGAAAGGTGTGAAATACCAGTCCATCTGTGGTCAACTGCAGCATTTTGTTTGCATGAATAGCTGAGTGTGGTTACTTTTTCGAGACAGCAAGAGCACCGTAGTAAAGCAGGCCCAATGTTCCATGCAGATTTTATTCTTGTTCTGGTTTTCTCCTTAAATTTCCAACTGACTAATGAAATTCCACACTCCTCTTATTATTTGAATTCCCCAGATCGATAGATTGAAGAGAGTGCCTACATGCAATTATTTTATATTGTCATCAATATTGCCTCCTGCATTATAGATCCTGTATTGCAGAGACTGGATCTCTAAATTATTCTTCAGTGCTACTCTTTATCACACTTCAGTTTATCACTATAAACATGTTTGATTTTATTATACCTAAGCATTCCAAACATTTTATTTTTTTTTTCCTGACTTGTAAAACAGGTTCAGCTGCAAGCATCACTTCTGCTCCTGCTGCTATAACAAAAGGCCCTGTTCAGGTAACCAGAAACTAGGAGCAGTTTTATGCTTGATGGCTACAGTACCTTTCAAAATTAATCTCTCTTTTTTTTCTCCAGGTTGCACCTACATCATCAAGCATAACTAAACAGATGGAAACTTCTAAAAGGAGCGAGAAGGCAAAGACCGTGACTTCGTCTGCACACACAGATAACGTAACGCAGATATCTACAACAGATGGGGTGATAAATAACCTTCAAAGGGATGACTCTCTAGACTCTGGTTCCTATGGAAAACAGGCTGAAACTCATGATAGTGGTACACCAGCCAAAACTATTGGCAGGTTTTCAGTAATCAGCACGCAAGATGAATTAACTTTAACAGCACCGCACTGCTTAAGGTTCTCAGCACCCCCAGACGTCTATTTGGATGAGCTACCTTCCAGCCCTGATCTGAAGACAGCTGTCCGACGGGTGCAGACAGCCTCTTCTGTTGATGTCCTCTGTGACCAGGGTTCGAGTGATTCTGCTGATGAGACTTTCCGTCGTCAGTCGGCTGCTGCTGCCCAACTGTCCCCCCCGAGCAGTAGTGCAGCCACTGACTTAATTAAAAAAGCAGCTGCTTTTCTGCAAAGATCTGGCAAATCTAGCTCGCCAGGCCTTGATTCTCCCAATGGTCAAGGAACAAAAATTCCTACCATCAACATAACATCTTTCCACTCGCAGTCGTCATACATGAGCAGCGACAATGACTCAGAATTTGAAGATGCAGATATGAAGAAAGAATTGCAGAACCTGAGAGAAAAGTATGTTGGGTTTGCAAACAATTCTAGGAAAGCTTGTGTTAAGATACCCAGGCAGCATCTCTGCATATGATGAGCAAATAGGTGTTTTTTTATAGCTGTCATGAGTAAACTGGTTCTGGGGAAATTAGGCATTGCTAGGAGACCCTTCCCCCAGATGTCATACTGCATCCTTTTATACATCACTTTATTTGTCAATTCCATTTAGAAGAAAGATTCAGTAGCAACTTTTTTAAACCCCAAAACTTTTCTGCTGTGATGTCCAGTTTCCTTACCAAAAGGCTACACTGATAGGGTAGCAAACAATAGCACTTGTAATGTGTGTGATAGTAGATTCCCATGTGGCTGCTATTTAAAGTGACATGAAATAATCTGGATGCCTATTGTAGGCAGCTGCCCTTCTTGGCAAGGGTGATTTAGACTACCATGTCTACAGACACATCACTATTCCCAGACTCACTTTAACAGTAGATACCTGTCTAATAGATACTAGATTAAAGACCCTCACTTCGCCTCCCCTCGGATGTCTCATCAAGTCATTGGTCCAGTCTTGGCAGCAGTCTATTGTGCTGCTAGTCCTGAGAGCTAGCTAGCTTTAAATTTGAACATTTTCTTTCTTTCCTGGCAGGTGATGGGTAAAAACTAGCATTAGGTGCTAGTTTAATCAAAATATGAAACTTTGCCTTAAGGTATAATGTTTTACTGAATACAGATGATGCACCTTTTTAAAACAGAACTACAGTAATACAAAACCTTTAAACTGACTTTATGGCATCATGAAATCTGCATTATAAATAAAGTAATGATTCATATGCTAATGGCATTCTTATGGGAAACACCTTTGGTTTTCTTCATGTGGAATTCCTTCAAACTGTTGTACATGCCCTGAGAGTTAACTTTTTTGAAGCTCCTGGTTTGAAGAGAGAAATTCTGGAATAGTTTGGAGTTCCTGTCAGATCTCATGTCAAAATCAAGTTGCTTTTGCTAAGGATGTTGAAAATCTTTTTAGCTGTCTAGGATTGTCTTATAAATGAATATTTGAGGTAGATTGTTATAACTTCATATACTTCTGCATGAGCAGCTGATTGTTTTATAACCAAAGACTGTTTTGTTTCTTTTTTTATACAAAAAACAAATTTCTTTTTTTATACAAAAACCAAACACATCTTGACAACAAATTAAGTTGTCAAGATGTGATGCTTTATCAAATACATGAATAGCAAAGTTCTCTATTTTTCATGTTCAGGCATATGAAAGAAATTGCTGAACTTCAGACTCAGCAGAAGAATGAAATAGAGGCACTGTATATTCGGTTAGGGAAACCCCTTCCTCCCAACCTGGGGTTCCTTCACTCAGCCCCACCAAGCGGCCGTCGCCGAAGAACCAGCAAAAATAAATTGAAAGGCGGAAAATTATTAAACCCTCTGGTCCAGCAGCTCAGGAGTGGAACATCAAGCACAAGTAGGTACACTAGGCTGCTTTCCATATGCCCGATGTTTGTGTCAGTTGTGGTTCTGCTGTGTAGTTGCATGGATTGCAGGAAAGGCACTGAATTTTTATTGGTTTTAATACTAGTGACTCAAGTTTCCATACTGCAAACTGTTTTTGAAGTGGGCTTCCTTTGGAACAGGCTTATTACAGCTGCCCAGTGCTGAACCATACATACTTTCTCTGCATCAGTTACAAATGCTTGGCAGAGAAACAATATTCCACTTTCATTTGGAATACAGCCTACTTACATTTTTCTCATCCTTTATACAAATGCAGTTTATTGATACTTGTATTCACTACTTAGGTGCTGTTATCCTCTATTGATAATGTGCTGTATCTTGTTGTTGTTTATCTTTTCCTCCAAGATGCTGTATAAGTAAGATTGGATTGCATTTGCTCCCCCAAAGGATGGGAAGTAAAAAGAGTTATGCTGGTGGATGCTTTGACTGTCTGAAGTAGTTCAAGATTTTTCAAACTGTAGTACAGTCTTGAGTCATTATCTCTTTGGAAAGTATAAAGATATAATTCAACTGGGAAATGTTGATATACCTCGGTACCTATTTCTTCAGCAAAATGTAGAATAGAATATGAATAATTTTTCTTCTAACTTAGTTCATGCTGTTATTTAGAGGAGCAGAAGCACTTCAAACCTTGTAGTTCTTGTTTTCAAAGTCGCTGCATCATAGGTCCACTTCAAATTTCATTACATCAATCTTAGTTATGGACAGAGTGTTTTGGAGGTTTTTGCTTTTAATTAAGGATTTCAACTGAGATAGGAAAAGCAAAGGTGTTCGGAGGCAAGATGTTCTTTGATCCATCTTGAGTCTCAGTATTCTTGCCTACAGGAACTGAGGCAATGTTCAGTGCTTTATACCTCTTTAGCTGTTGCTTGACTGACGTGCATCGCTTTTACTTCCTTTCCTTGTGATGGCATACTCTGTATGTCTGTTATCCTTGGTGCATTCATTTTCCAGTTTGTTCTTGGGTTCTCTTTAGCCATTTTTTTCCCCCTCTGTCTAGTCACAAAACCCACATCTGTCTCCACTCATGAATCTTGGCTCATATCAATGCCCAAAGAATTTAAGCTTATTTCTGCATAAAATGTCCCAATTCTCCTGGTTTTTTTCCTTGTCACCTTCAGTCAGAGAACAGAAATCTGTTCAGTCACACTGCTACTTTGGTGCATGCTTCCCTTCCTGCATTTCTTATGTGTTATTTTCCAGTTTTTTGAGGCACTGTGTAAAGTTCACATTATCTTTGAGGATCTCATGCCTGAGTCTTCTCACCCTTGGCTATGTAGATTCCTCATTTTTGGCCTTCCTTGGTCCTTTCTCAGGGATCAAGGGCAGGCAGTTGCTAATAGGGTTACTGATGTAATTGTCTTTTCCACTCTTAGATGCTTTTGCTGATAAATCCATGTAACAAATTATTACAAAAGTGTTTTGGTGGTAAAGCCTCTTTGCTCAAGTTATCCATGTCTATAGATATATAGATATGGATACTTATGTATAGAAATGCATCTATATATAGATTGCTATGAATAAAAAGTTCCTCATGTCTTTGCAGCAACTTTTTGTTTCTCTCCATTTGCCTATGTTTCACCTTTCATGTCTGAGAGCAAACCTACATGTTCTGCTCAGTTGTTCTGTGTGTTCATCCTCCTACTTAGGCACTTCTGCAGCTCTCACTTTATTTCAGCAGTGCTCCTGTTGAGGTCCTGACTCCAGTCTTTCTGAAAAATGCAGAAAAACTGTAAAAATCAAACCTACTTCTTGGAGAAACTGCATCAGCAGTACTATGTGTAGGTTATTTTCCGCTGCAGGCTATCCACAAAGTCTGTGCTTTGTACAGTACTTCAGAATTGTAAACTGCTGTTCCTCTTGGTAGCAAGGTAATGATTACTTTTAGACCCAGATTTTTATTCAGTGCTTTCCTAGCATTTGCCATTGCATGTATTTTTTTTGTTTGCTCTTGCAGGTAATCTTTCAGACTCTAAAGACTCACCCCACAGAGAAGCAACTAAAACTCAGCCTGGATCTCCTGAAGCAGCAACAGTAACTTCCCCTGCATCAGCTACCTTTGGGAAGGCTGTTCAGACACAACAGCCATGCTCTGTCAAAGCCTCTTTGTCTTCTGACATCTGCTCCGGCTTAGGCCCCGAAGGAGGTGACGTGAACGCAAGCTCTGGCCAAGGTGATTTTTTTCATACCAGCTGTTCAGCATGTCTTCTAGCACATGCTAAAATTAGTTCACTTCCCTTATGCTTGAACTTTTAAGGAGTGGATTTCACTTCTAGTGATGTAGGAACATGAAACTTTGACAATTCAAATTACTGGCTTATCTTTAAAAGATCACTGCAGTATTGTCAGAAGAGCAAAAGTAACGTATCTTATCAAGTATTAAGAGTCAACACTCAAGAAGGCATGCTAATTTTTAGGAAGGAAATACCTTTTATTTTTGCCAGCAGTGGCTTTATACTGACAGCTTTTCTGGAGTCTGCCTTATAGATTTCTGAGAATAAAGAAAGGAAAAAAAAAAGGTATAGAAGAATAGGGGATTGTATTATAGGAGGTTCCTTTGGTTCATTTTGGGCTTTTTTTTTAGTCCGTTGATACTGGTAGACCCAGAGTTCCTCATTGTAAACTACCAACTGAGTGTGAGGGGGGGGAAAAAATAAGCAAGAAAAGAAAAAACCAAAACAAACCCAGAGAACCAAGTTATGTTTCCTTTATCTAAAGGGTTAACTTTTGTGCATGGTTTTGGAGTCCCACCTAAATGACTGTAGATTGGCTGTGTTCCCCAGTCCCGACCTCTGATATTCTGTGTATCGCACACCTCAGTAGGCTTTGACTGATCTTGTTGCCATGCATATTGGAAGTTATAATGGTGATTAAAATACCTTCCTCTCATTGCACATCCTGCCAAACTAATCTACAAAATATCTATCTGTTCTTTTCTGCTGTTATTGCATCCTTTGTGTATGGTCAATTAACTTACTCCTCTTTGGCAAAGTTAAAATGGAGATGTGGATGTTTAACTAACAAAGCTGATTTGACTGATGGTATAGGACATCTGATCACAGCTACTTGTACTTTATAAGTGTCTTTGTTTTCTTCCCTTTATATTCATTTGCAGGCTGGACGGTTTTCCACCAAACGTCTGAGAGAGTGACCTATAAATCTAGTAGCAAACCTCGTACCAGATTCCTCAGTGGACCTGTGTCTTTGTCCATCTGTTTGTATTTGTTCTTTTGTATTTTATCACAGTCCATCTTTCTTTTACCCCCTTTTTCCAATTCCATATTTTATATCTTTAATATGTTTGGCAGGATGCCCCTTTTTTCTGAACCATCTTTTCTTTCTTTTTATCTTTCTTTTAAGTAATCATCATGAACACACCTTATTTATATTAATTTTTCATATGAAAGCTTTTTTTGCACTGCTTTTGGCTCATGCCTGGGCACCAAAAGCATGTGTGGAAGATCTCATCATTTATTATATAGCTTTATGGTAAATTTTACCCTGGACTTATCTATCAAAGCTTTTGTACTTTATGTGATTTATGTTGAATTAACTTTTTTGCAATGTGGCAAATATACATGTCTGCTGTCCTGATTCCAGCGACAACAAAAAGAAATCCATCCTTCTGTAGACGAATGGTCTCTTTCACACATGTTTGGACTATGAAGACATGCATGTAGCAAGCTGATACAATACTAGAAGGTCACTGAAGGGTATAACTTCCATACAAGGGCTGTATTAACACGATATACAGTACTGTTTATATCCACTCTATTTTCTTTTTTTCCCCCTGCTCTTTGCATGTGGAAATGCTGAGACAATAGTGCTCCAGCTAGTTCGTTCTAAATCTGTTTTCTAGGTGGGCTTTTCCCCATGCATTCACTTTAATTACTTTTAAGTGAGCAATGTTTTATATACTTGTAAGCAGCAGGAATATCTGGTTACTCCAAGGGAGAGTACCATCAACTTTTTTTGTGTAAGCTGATCTGGCTGAAGCACTTCACTCAGTTTATTTTCTTATGACCTTATGTGACCTCAGAGATGAAGTCAATTAGCAGTTCATCAAAGCATAAATAAGTAAAAAGCAATATCAGATTTTCAGATGATACTTTGAAATGGATTGCTAGGATCCAGTATTTTTGTTTCAAATAATTGTGCACCTGCTAATTGTACCCTATTTGTATGACTTCTAAAGTAATTGGCAATTCAACCAAATGATATCAAGCTATTTAATTTAAAAATTAAGACCATTTTACCAATCATAGATGCTGCTTTTTAGGCAAACAGATTTTGCTTGTACAATAAAGATATGTTGTGCTGAACAGGTACTATAGGCCACTTACATATAACATTAGAAAGGCTAATAATGTTCTTGAGAAAATATTTGGTTAACTAACTGCTCATTTGCATTAATATCAGATCTCCCATTGGAGTTCTACATTGCTCATCATTATCCAAGTGGTACAGATCAAAGGCACAAGACCACTCAAATACACTTCTCCTAATTTTATGAATAAACAATATTTTTAAAAATAATCTTGAATTCTTTTTTGTTTGAGGTCCTTGAAATCCCTGCACTCACATTCTTGAAAACTGATGTTTACTGCTCAGCATACTGAATTTATTATAATGCAAGTTTTTAATGACCGTTGAAGTCATGAGACAATTGTGCATTCAGGGATTTTTTTTCTGAGAACCTCAGGGGAATTCTCAGTTCACAAATTTTCCCATTTGATATTATAACGGACATAGTAGTTTCTTCCTCTGCCCATGTAATTCCCAGAAGTTGTTTCATTAATCTTTCACAGAATTACTATTCAGTAGGATGCAAAAAGACCGGGAGATGGCAATTAAAACCCAGCATATTAAAAATGTTTGGGTGCATGGATATTGTGAATGAAACCAAGGAAATATGTAGATCCTTCAAATCGTGAAGTTTCCCCGATGCTTAAATAACTCAGCACGACTAATTGCTTTCTGTTCTCAGCCCATATGCTCTCTTCTCGGTTTCTTCCAGGCGAAGTGTTCGGAGAGTAGGTTTGCGCTCCCCCATTTCTGAGTCATATAAGGAGATTGACTGAGTTTCAGGCACTTTATTCCTGACACAAGCCTCCAAAGTCACCACTGCGCAGAGAGTGCAGCTTAGTTTTAAATAATGCCTATCACTTGGGCTGCTAGACATTTTTCCACAGCTGAGTTGCTGGTAGATTTTGATGGGGACAGGAGGTTATTTTAGCTTGTATTCCCGATGAGTCCAACGGGTGGGTAGTGTGTGTGTGAAGGGACGAAGAAGAGGCTGCATGCAGCTGCATGGTTCCCCAGAGAACTGCTGGGATGGGACTGCTGCGGAAGGGCTGTATGGCTGGTGGTTCCGTAGAGCCGGTGTCCAGAGCAGCCATGACCACAGCTCCCAGGAAAAGTACTGCTAGATGCTGCTGCTGGGAATGCCAGCTGGTTTGGGCTCCTTCCCCTCTCAAAGGGACATAGATTGACCCAGCATGCAGCCAGAGCCAAGTGTTTGGACTAGGTGTGCCATATGTTTGTGTCTTCACTGCACACCTGAGCGAGAAGCGTGACCGGTAGCAAGTGAGCGCCAGGGACAGGGTGCTGGGGTGCGGCTGCTGGGGCCAGGCAGTGCTGGGGCCCAGGGCTGTTCCACAAGTCGAGCTTTCCCTGGTGTTTTTTGATTGTCTGAGAGCTACTGGGAGAAGTTGTGCTGGATTTTCAGAAATGCTCTGAATCTGTATGTTTGATTAATGGAAAAACTGCTCTTTGGGGAGCTTGGATATTCCAGTGTGAGGCCTGTACTGTATTAGCAGCACGCTTTTAAAAGATGCATTCAGCTTTTTAGATACAGTAAAGATAGTTTTACAAATATTTTGCTCTGGTTCCATCAAACTTGAACACTTTCACAGTGTTCTTCCAAAACAGCTTCTTGTTCTGTTCCACACATCTAGTATTGACTTCTCTTTTGCATTTTTCATGGACTAAAGTATCCTGGATGGGCTTCAGCATCATTTTAGCCTGAGCTCCTTCCCTGGGTCAGATTGCAAGGGTATCTTAGGGAAGAGTTTGCGCTGACTGTGAGTGGAATTTTCAAAAACTCCATTTGGCTTAGACTTGTAATCTTGTGTAAAGCGATTTTTGTCAGGTCTGTAGTAATTAATATATTGTATGTGCATATGTGATTATGGAAATGGTCTAAACAATTTATTGCCGCTTCAGTTTTATTTTAGCTTTCAAGCTTTTTGTCAGCTGTTAGAGGGCAAACATGGGAGAGTGGATTTTTTCTGTCCTGTATGATATAATAGCTACTTAATTTTTCAGATGAGAAATCTGGAATTGGAGGTAAAACACTCTACTGAACTTTTGCAGTCTTAAATTAAATCATAATTATGATTCATCTCCTCAACTCTACAGCAATTAAACACCTTGATTTTAGAAGTAATACAATTAATCTGGTGAATTAGGTTTACCATGTGCATTTTAAATTGAATTTGAATTTAAAACCAACCATAATCAATGATTGTCAGTCCTTACTTCAGGCAATATCACCACTTAGATCATGTTTCTCATCTCCCAAGCAACATTCAGTGATTCAGTTTGGAAGAAATAGCTCTTTTTGGTGATTGACTCTCCTGTAATATTTTCCTTAATGTTGGCTCCTTTCACATGGGTATTTTGTGAATCTGTCTAGTATCTCTGTTCTCTGTTACCTCCCCACACATTTGGGGGCCCCGGGTTTGACTTGGCACCCGAGGTGCATATAAACTTGTGACTTGGTTTTCAGGAAGCAGAGGGGTTGGTGATTAAACATTTTTACATGCATTTGAGCACGTACTGTAGTCAGCTGCCTGCTTTTATTTTTTGCAGGCAGTTGCTTTTCATTTGCATACATATTGTGCTAAACACTACCTATTGCTACATGCAGAAATGGTGAAGGATAGTTAACAAAATAGCATTTTAGGATTACAGCCACTGATGTTTCCATAATGGGACTTGCTAGCTAACTTTGAGGTAGACAAGGTAAGGTATATCTGAGGGAAAAGAGGGGGAAAAAATTAAAGGTACAATGCAGATTGCTGAGCTGTGAATGTGACTTGTATTTGTTATCTAGGCTTTTACCTGTATTTGTTATCTAGGCTTTGTGAGAAACTAAACTTGGTCATGCTTGCATAAGACATTAGTGTAGTCATGTCCTTCTGATTTTCCTGGAATAGAAACGATGTGAAATGAAATAATAAGAAAATCTTTCAAAGCAGTCCTTCTGTTCCTCTTCATGCCACCCATATCAAAGCACAAACATTTCTTCTCCCTTTCTTCCCCTCTCTCTTTTCCTTACTTTCTCTTCCTCAGTCTCTGACTGATGTATCTATTCTCTCCATTGAAGACTCATTCAGAGCCTATATCAACCTGGACCTGCAGTCTGAGTTTAAAGCTGCATTTCTGGCATAATAACATAAAATATCAACACCAGTTTGCTGTAGAGAAAAGCACATCCATCCTCTATCTTGATTTCTGCCCCACTCTGATTTTGCTCGTGTTTTCAAGTGCTTCTTCACAATAAACTTGCCATGCCCCATGTCAGATGTTCATCTCCTCCCATACCATAATGATACTCTTCTTATCAAGTCCAAAATACCTTTCAGGAAATTTGGCACTCAAATAGAAATGGTGCTTATGTCTGGCGAGATCTGACAGTCAAGTAGGGTTCTCACTACACTTCTGGCACTCTTAACAGAATATATAAAATCGTGATGCAGGATGTAATGAGCTAATAATAAAAAAACCATGTAGTTTGGTTAAATGAAAACTCAGCTACTCTGCTGGATTATTTTTCTGCACTTGGACAAGGCATAAGGGAAACTCATTCATGGTTACTTTCAATTAAAGTTCAGAATCTCACATGTAGACACAAATCGTACTAATAAAGTATTTGGAAACAATTGGCCTCAGACCTGCAGAACAATGTATCTTTTTGGACTTGTAAAACAGGACTCTTAGGGTTGTTTTACAGTTTGTCTTTTGCAGCCAGACTAGCTTGACTTGTTCCTGAAAGCATTTTTGGCCTCCTATCACAAACTGAATTGACATCATTTCCTGCATAAGTAGAGTAGGAATCAAAACCTCCTATAAGGAAGCCAAGGCAATTTTGAAAAAAAAAAAAAAAAAAAAAAAAAAAAAAAAAAACCCCCAACCAATGAACAAAACCCACCAAAACAAAATCCCCAAACCAAATGCATCTTTAAGTCATGGGACCTTGCTTTTGGCATGCTATTGAACTTCTTGAGCTTCTGAATGGCTGCACATTAAGAAAGGTTTGAGCTGTCCAGTTATTTAGACATCCTTTACTCACCTGAACTGCTGACTTTGTCTGTCCTTTCTTGCATAATAACTACTTTTTGATTGCTTAAAAGTACAGAAGCTTGTCCGTCAGATTTGTTGTGTTTAGTCTTACCTAATTCTGTATGTCTTGTATTGTTTTACCTTGTAGGGTCCACCTTGAAACGACTATGTCTAGGCAAAGATCACAGTAGTAGTAACTATCCCATTTTTGTTTCTCAGTATTTCCTTCATGGCATGGGATGTTTTTTGCTTTTTTTAATTTTTACTAAAAGCTAGTTGTCTAAGAAATAGAGCTGATGCACTTACACTGGTATGAAATTAGACCGTATAAATTGTGATACTTTCATAGTAATGCATGTGCTGTTGATGTCTTGGGAACCACGCATGCTGCAAGACAGTTGTGGTATTCTGTGTGTGTGAGACTGCACGCATGCGGCGAGAAAACTGGATTCAGTGTTTGTCTTTCTGAAATACACACCTTTATATGACTGCAGTTCTCTGCTGGAGGAATTTATAGCTTAAAAGGATCTCGTTCCTGTTGAGCTGCATGAAATATTAAACACTAATTGATGAGCTTTCCTGTCAAAATACTTACTTTTCTCACTGGTCCCTTTCCCCCAGGCAAAGGAAAAGGAAATGAGCAGTATTCACTTAGAAGTTATGTTGCAGGTTGAATGCATGATCATTTAAAGGTTATTAACGTATTTTATATAACTATAGGACTAATTAGTTTACTTGGTTTCATTGGCTGGTAACTGATTAACAGAGAAAAGACGACTGAATGTTCATGTTTGTTTATATAATAATTTTACTACAATTCTGTGAACTTTTTGCTTGGAGAGATGGTCTTTATTTTAAATCTTTAGCTATATCAAATATGCTAGCTGAAAACTTACTTTGTATTTTATGCTCAGGTCAAATTCAGGCACGTTCAGTTGCTGTTTCCTGCTGGTCTTGCTGTGTCAGTCTTGTAGTCACCAACACTTAAAAATGATGGATTTTTTTTTCCTAGTTCTTCTAGATATAGGTGAACATATAATATTAAATTTCTGTTAATACTCTTCCTGTTTGCTTTTATCAATACCAAAAGTTCTGTATCTTTATTTTTGTCTCAAAAACTTACACACCCACTTATGTCCTCCTCTCTCTCCTCTTTGTTCTGTAAATTCATGGTCCTGATGCATTTTTCTTTTTAAAAAAAAAGTGCAAATGGTTGAGTAAATGTTCCTAACACCATTGAGAGAGATTGTGGGTTCCCAGAGCCTTTGAGGCATTATAGCCAACCCTACTTGTAATCTATATGACAATTACGTTTTTCCAGGAGGACAGTAAATTTATGCAAGTAAAATAAACAGTAAATTCATATTTTAAATGTGTGCAGTTTAAGCACTGCCTCCCACTCTCTCATGGTAGTCTCCTCTGAGGGGACTGTAAGCCTTAGGCTGTCAGTGTTACTGGGACTGCATTTGTTTCTCCTCTCAGAGTCATTCATTTCATCTAGAGAGAAGTTGTGAGTGCAACAGCTAGTGGCTGAGGTAACTAGAAAATATAGTGAATATTATTAATATATATTATATATTATTAATATATTTACACTAGAAAATGTGATAGAAAATATGAATGCATTGAACTTGGACCATTTCTTTAAGCAAAGGTGTTCTGTAGAAAAGTGGGGGAGGGTTAAAAGTCAGAAAAGCCACTGTTTGTATTGCAGTAGATGAGAAACTGTTTGAACATCAGAGTGGTGAAGCAGAGATGCCATTGTCAACTTTTTTTGTGTGTGATTTTCCAGGATCCTCGACAAACAGTCTTGTAACGTGTCCTGAGCCCCTCCCACAATCGACCCTGCAGGTTCAGGCCAACAACAGTAACAACAAGAAAGGGACTTTTACAGACGATCTTCACAAGCTGGTTGACCAGTGGACAAGCAAAACTGTTGGAGCTGCACAGACAAAACCTTCCTTAAACCAACTGAAGCAGAACCAAAAAAGGCAAGATATGGAGCCAAAGGCTAATCCCATGCAAACACAGAATGAGACATGTGGAGTAAGTGGCACTCCTTGAAGAACGTACCTTTTGCTATGTGTCTGAAAGCCTTTGCAGAACTCAGATTTGGAGGACGTAAACTAAAGTTGCTTCAGATAGAAGCTTCCTATAAATGTCCATCTCTTTTCATTAAGTACTAAACCAGATATTTTTTTAAAATTGCCTTTTGGAATAATCTTGAGGGATATATAGGCTGCAATATATATATAAAATATATATTTTTTTTTAAATTGCAAACTGCTTATTAACAGCAATATACAGCAATACTCGTGCCATTAGCCATGTGTTGCTCAAATCTTAACTATTCCTAAAGTTTTCTTCTTTTTGATGTTTAATATTAATTTTCCTTAGACAGAACAGTGGCTGGGCCTGTAGCTTGGTGACAGCGAGCCTTTGTTTTAGTGGAAGAGGAGTGAGCACTGTGCTGAGATAGGGGACAGATGGGTGTGTTTCTGACCCTTGCTTGTTGTACTGGGCATCTTTAACGCTATCTGCCTTGTGAAAATGCCATCTTCAGAAATGATGTGAAAGTAAGCTACAACAAAATGGAAATTGGAAGTGCCGCCGTTTGTCCCCTGTTATTTTCAGTAGCAGGAAAAAAGCATTGTGATAGGCATTTGTGTGTGCATTCAGTGCTTTTTTTCATTGCTGAGTGATGATATGGAGGCAAACACAAAAATCAATGTAGAATCCCAGTTTACAATTTTATCCCACCCTGGTCTGGGTTTCCTCTTCCTCCTCCTCATAGTTGGATGATTCTTTGACTAGTAATTCTTACTGGATGCACTGGTAATTGAGCTAAAGTAGAGGAAAATAAATTATTTTTAAAAGCAAAGAAATAATGAAGACAAAAACAGTGAGAAATTGTTTTGTAATCCCTTAAAAAACAGATAACTGGATCTGCACAGTAAACCATTGCCTTTTTGGCATGTAGAAAGTAAAAAACTTGTATGAAGCAGTGGTAGCTCTGTAGTTATTAATGAGGTGAAACATGCCAAAGCAGGAAACGTGCTAATGCATCCAATTTGGTACCTGCTGGTTCGGAGTTAGTAGGGTCACCAGCTTCACAGGGAAAAGCATTTGTGAAAATGTATTAAGCAATTTTATGTCAATTCTTAATTGCCATAAATGGACAAAAAACAGAGAGTAAATAATTCTTCTCCTTAGTGACAAATTAACCACTATAAACCCATTCTGGAGTAACAGTGACAACTACTTAAGACCCTATTAGTTCTCATAAAATAAGACAAAGGAGGTGTTAGTAAACACAAATTGAAGATTTCTAGAAAATAATGGTGAGGGCACAAAATTTGTTCTGTTAAGTCACTTTTTATTCTTTTGATGTGCTTTTTGCAGCTTGATCTTTTCCCTGAGACTCCTGTGGAAGTTTGAAGTATTTGATGGGAGTGTTTTGCCCACTTATAACTCTGGAAAACTGTTGTCATTTTGCTTATTTAAATCACGTGTTAACATCAATTTAGGGTTAATTTTACCTTCTGCTGTCTTGGTGTCTCTGTTTCAAAGCCTATGGAGAAGGCAGAACATTGTTATGAGGAATGAGGAACACGAATGTCCCTGTCTCAATATGCTGATTTTAGAGGGTTTATTTCTTTCTAGAACATGGCAGTTGTCTGAAGAATTAACAAGGATGATTGAAGTATTTTAGAGATCATTTGTCAAGAGCTCAGAGAGACTGGTATTCCTTACTCTTCATTTCACACCATTCCTTGTCAGCTGGAGACCTTGCAAGCCCCACACCAACTTGCCCTGGGTGGTTTTGTCCAGGACCGTGTGGGCTGCAGAAGAGAGGCAAAGGTAGATGGCAAATATTCCTAGTGTGTTTATTGTTGGGGTATTTTGGCCGTGTAGATGGCACAGCATGCCACAAATGATTTAAAACAGGGCAGTGGATATGATTTGAGACTTTTACAAGGATTCTTTTTGTTGTTGAGCATCATTCTGCTGTTTGTACCTTTTGAAATTCACCCTAAAGGGGAAATTGAATTTAAGGAGGGAGAGGACTTCATATTGTTGGGAGAGAAATATCCAGAAGAGGAGGAAGGAAATTGTGTAAAAGGACCCTTACTCTGGACAGCCAGACAAGTGACCCGTAACATCAGTGCTTGGAGTGATGAAATACATGGGGAGATGTTATACCTGCACTGAATCACCTTTTAATATGGTATTGAAAAGACAAAAAGAACTCAGGAAATCACATAAAGGATGTTAAAAATAGCTTTCTAACAGGGAGCTTATAAAGCTCAGGCTGTACTTCTTCAGTCCATCTGTTAACACCGTCTTTCTGTGATCTTTTTGATCAAATACAAAGATGCCTTTGCAAGAAAAGAGCAAGGAGCACTGAACAAATTTCCAGTGTATCAGAGAAAGTTATAATAAGGTATTATGTTGGGAATAAAGACTAGATAAACTGGAAATGTGGTGATTCTTACACCTGTTTTATTTTACTGCAACAAGCTAGCAGGAACTGTTGGGGCAGGTTGTTTCATCTTCAGAGTGGAAGTTTTATTTTAGGAGAAACTATTGATGGTCCCATACAGTGATTGGAAATGAGAGGCAGGAGAGAAGCAGTATTCATACCTTCACTTTTAAATTGTTTCTGGAGGTTACTGGACAGAAAGATGTCTCCTTGAAGAGCTTTTAAACAGGAGTAGGAAAGATGTGAGTTGTCCCATGGTGCTTTGTTGGTTAAAGGTCCCCTGGAATTAGGACTGCACAGAGATCTTGTGTGTGACACAGAGGCCACATAGGTGATGAGCATCCTCTTGCAGTGAAAGTCTAGGGCTTCTTTTATACAAGGTATGACAATGAAGGCATCAAATCAGATGGCCGATTTCTACTCTTATTTGGGTTTTTTTTTCAATCTCTAGGCCTTACTGGTTAGGGGTAATTTATTTTTTAATTTACTATTTTCTCTTACTGTCCCCGCACTGTTATTAATATGCAGGGTACCTGTGTGTTGTCTTCTCCTTCACCCTGAAAACAGAGAACTAACTTTCCCAAGTTAGCTTTTTTGCTTGAGATGCTTCTACAGGCATCAGCAAATTGCTTGCTGTGTGAATACAATATATTATGGGTACCTTTTTTTAACTAAGTGAAAGTTACTCTTTAAGGTTGGAAATAAACTTAGAAGATAAATCGGTGATGTGTTTAGTAAGAGTTTGTGGGTTTATTTTCGTCCTCTTTATCATCAGAAGTGTAGAAAGCAATAAAATAATCAGGATGCAAAGGAACACTTTAAATTCTGCTTTGTTTCTGTAGAAGTTACCTGTCAGTTTGGCTGCAAATACTGGTTGATACATACTAGACGTTTAGGGGGAAGCCTTCAGGCATCCAGTTATGTCACAGGAGCACTGATACGTTCCTTTTCAAATGTTTTATTGAAACATGGAAATACATAAAGATTATCATCACCAGTAATTTGAAATGTAAGAGGAGATATTAGGAAGAACTGAAGTAAAACTGTCTGATGATAGTTATTTCTCTCATGCTCATTCATGTGGAAGACATGATGAAATAATCCTTTTTTACAGGTAATTGTGGTTATCACCAGTCAAGGAATATGCTTAGAAACATGAGCTTTCCTGTGTGTAAAGAGTGCTGAATATTGTGTAGTTAAAAGCATTATTTGAAGATGCCTGGGAATAAAGGGCTTACCAAAAATGTTTTCTATTCCTCATACTGTTAGGTAGCTCCCTGGGTTTTAAAGAAAAAACTATTACTCAAAAAAAGCTGTAAACATGTTCCAAGTCCATAATAAGGTTGTTTCTGTGAACATGCAAGTCTATGTCAGTTGGTGACGTGTGCTGGGTCTTAGACACCGTCAGTACTAACTGCACATCTGTTCGTATTTAGTACATCTTGATTTTAATGAGCTGGCTGCCTGGGAAGCAGGCTTTCTGGAGATAGTCACAGACATAAAAATGGAGCGGAAAGACTATTAACACCTTTTATTGTGTCTTCCGTCTCCATTGGATTGGAAGAATAATAAAAACCAGGATGAATCTGTGTTTGAAACTATTTGACACTGCCTTCTTGGTCTGAATGTCAGAATAGCTTTCCAGGAACCTGGAAGAGAACAAACACAAATCTTCAGTAGCACCTAATAACTGGGTTTTCAGCAAACTGGAGAAAGGTGATAAAGATGTATTAGCATCCTTGCCCTGCTCATGTTGGCAGCCAGCTCCAACCATGTCCTGTGATTCAGTTTTGTTTCAGTGGTAGTTGGACCATACAGCAGTAAAACAGTAATGCTAATGTAGCCATCAAAATGTAGCCGGAAGAAAAATAATCTAAATCCTGCAGTTTTAGAATGGGTTGTGATTGTTACAGTCAGCTTTCACAGAATTACCTGGTTTCATCTGTTCTACTGTAAAAACATATTTATAATAAGTCAAACACAATTCTTAGCTATATAATTTCACAGCACTGTAAGTATGAATATTGCTCAAATGGCACTTTACAGCTTGCTTGGTAAAGCATGAGAACAAGGTGGAGAATTTTAAAGAAGTCCAAAGAACAGATATTTTTTTTTTCTGAACTACCATAGCCTTTGTCCAGTGGGATGTTTAGTTTTTAAATGGTTTTGTGTATGTTCTTCTTTGTGTATATATTTTTCTTGTTTTCTAAATGAGTGTGTGTGATTATTTGGGGGAACAGGAATGAAGGGCAGCAAGGGAAGGACTGGCAGCAGAAGGCAGGCATTTGGGGAAGCAGGAGCAAGAGGTGGCTCTTACCTGGCAGGGACTTCTACAAGCCCTCAGGGCAGAGGCTTATTAGTGCAGGAGAGGTTGGCAAGTGCAGGAGGAGGCAGCATGAGCAGACGTACAAAGGCAGCAGATAGAGATGCTGCCATAGGTGTTAGTTCCGTAAGTGTATTGCTTCTATTGAGGAGGTTAATTGAAATGCAGAGAAAAAGAGGAGGGGAATTTCACTTCTTTCCATATAATATAGGACACATTTTAGGTTGTCAACCCAGTCTC